TTCACCAGCTGAAGTGAATTATTTTACTTTTTCATCTTGAGAAACCTTTCTTCAAACCCGCCTGTCACATTTTCTTGGAGACATTCCAATATTTATAGCTGCTTTGTTTGCTCTCAACTTAATTTTTGCAAAAGGTAAAAACTTCTTAAATGCCTTCCATAAAGTCTTTCAAACAGAACTTTTTTGAGCGTGTAAAAATTGAATACAACTTCGCCAGTCCGCAGAAACTTAAAGAAATTGGCTGGTCTTCAAACTTTTTTGCGGAAATTTGATGGTTTGCGGGCCCAAAAAAGCTAAGGAACAATGGTTGTAAACTTTTAGAAGTGCGGAAATTTTCGTTTTTTTTTTCTTACATCCCAATGGCATTTTACGCATCCACTAACTTTATTTCAATTTTCTGTCATTAGGTTTTGTCCAAGACAGGTATAATTCGAATGTTACATGATAATTATTGTAGTTAAATTATTTCCAGTTTTTGGTCATCGATAATTCTGAAAAAATAACGATGGAGAGGATGGAAACATCGCCATTTGTCAAAATAAAATCAGAATCCCGGAAATTCTCATAAATTTCATTTCAAAATTCAATCAAGGTTAGATCATTTGTGGCTGTCTTTCAAAAAATCCCGAACATTTTTTCTTGTATGAAATGGTCACGATGAAGGAACAGCATAAGCGTCCTCTTTTCCCGAAATTGCGGTAAATTCTCAAAATTAAAGCTAAAAAAAATCAATCCAGATTATATTATTTTGGTAAACTTTAAAAATTAAAATTTTTTTTTTGATTAATAGTGTTACTTCTCTTGTACTACGAAAAGGCACTCTTTTTTTTTAGCTCTTAATTAACGAATACTGAAAAGACTGCAAAAGGAGGGTTAAGTGCTCTTTTATTTTAATTAAATTTAAGTTGGACAGATTGATTCGAAAAGCATAACGCATGTCGAGAATAAACCCGTAAGAATGACGCACACGAGGAATTTGATCTTTAAAAAATTACTGTACATAGGAAGTTAAGACAGACGAGATCTCATGATAATTTTCTTCTCGCCGTATTCTCCGTTTGGAATAACTCACATTTGGAGCATGCATTTAATTAATTGTTGAATCTCTGTCTAGCGTATATACTCGGTCAAAATAACGCGGAGGACTCGTTTTCATTCAGGATGAGAGCACCAATTAAGAATGACCTAATTGCCCCCTTGCGCGTGACACGCGCCTTGAATATTACAGAACAATTGAACCAGGAAGGGAAAGTGGCTCATCTTTTCCTTAATCCAACCGGTTCCTGTGTCATCTCTTTGTTCTAAGATTAAATCAACGCGGAGAAAAGAAAAACAGCGGAAATCTTTATAATTTTTAAAGAAGAAGGCAACAGAAACATGGCGGAAATTGTGCCAGATTTTGTGTCATATGATGAGAACTGAAACATTCAGTGATAATTAGAACAATATATGCTGGTGGTACAGCTATTGTATTAAATAAAAGTGCAGTACAGGTGGTACCTTGCAATTCAACCCTAATCCATTGCCAAACTTGGGCCAAATTGTGAGACACTCTGTGAAATTTAAAAATATAGCTTAAAAAACACACAAAAAAGTGGCCAAAGCAGGTCAAATTTTGGGTCAAGGGTCAAATTGCAAGTCAACCTCCCTGCAAATTTGACCGTCAAATGGCAGGATGCAGTTTAACGTTCCACGGTGGACACATAAATAGGACATATATTCCACAGTACGACTTATTTGGAACATTAAATAAGTCGTTTTGTCTTCATTAAGTGTTTTTACAACTGACCTTTTCAAAAGTTCCACGATTATATAAGGAGCGTGTTTGCTGTGAACATTGATGAGTGACATAAAATTTAAATTGATTATAAAGTATTCTGGGTCTCAAACTGCTGGATAAATGAGTTGACAGGTGCATTAATGAAGGCAAGGGTACATTTTCCCAAGCAGTCCATCACTTCCTTTTGAAAAGCATCAGATTCAATTTGTATTTATCTCATTTCCTGGTCCCATGAGCATACAGCTGAAAAAAAGGTCTCTCAATATTTTAGTTGCAGGTTTGAAAAAGGAGTCTTTGAGTTGTGAAGGTTTACATACAGGAGCAGATACACTCTCTAAAAAAATTCCAAGACCAAAATTCCAATAAATTGATGTGCGGAGAACTTTGCAGTGCTGTATAAAACCTCTTTATAACATGAACCCTTTTAAGGATAAAACAAATTCATCATACAGAGAAAATTGATGCAGACAAAATTATTGTAATGAGAGATTCCACCTAGTATTGCTTTTTTTTTTAGGAAATTCAGGTAGGGTTGAACAAAACTTTGTCTTGGGAAGGTTTTTGACTATGATTATAGGAACGTTCAACTTTCCAAGGTCCAAATGTATTCATGTATCTATGATTTTTGTGTGTTTTATCATGGACTCAAATGCTAAGGACATCATCTAGTAAATATACAGTAATTATAATACAGAATACGCCTTGAAGTCATGGGAGTCCCTATATATACATAATATTGTACTGTATATATATCCATGTGCAGCAGGTGATGGTACTTGTTCAGAACATATGCACAGTGCAAAACTCATAGTTCGTCAGCACTTATATCATCCCATCTTTAATGTTGTTTTGAAAAAGATTAAGTGTCTTTTAGAGACTGGAATAGCTAGGACAAGCACTAACCTTTAGTAATGAGTTAAGGGAACAGCTAAGCGGAGTTTTTTAACGAAGCCCGCTTCCCTTCTTGGTCAGTCCCCTATTTATGACGATAAGAATAGGCGAAGCGGATCATGGCCTCAGGCTATCGCTTCATCTCCAGGTTATTTCCCCTCCATGCTCAGGGCTATTTGAGGCGAAAACGGTCAACTTCTTGAAGCGTGAAGTGTCAGTGAGTGTCGGGCAAGAAAACTTCAGGTGGGAAGGTTTTCAACGTTTCCCAGCCCTTTAAGCATAGAAAACGCTTTCCCCGCCAGGAAACATTTGGACAGGTTTGCCTGATCAACGTGTCTATATTACAGTACCTTATTGAGATGAGTGCATCATCATCATTAATGCTGATGATTAATATTCTTTCGGTCCTGTGCCATACATACATAAAAAAAACTTTTGGCGCGTGCTTTGGTAACTTCATAATTTTGGAAAGAAATCATGAAACCTTTTCTTAATTTCTTTAAAACCAAGTTGTGAAAAATATATCTCCGTTTTTGACACATTTCTAACCCTTGAAATTAGGACTTCTTTTTGGAATTGTTTTATTTTATTTTTTTATTTATAGACCTTAAAAATGTATAATAGCTGTATACACATGCATAAACTGTACTGTGAATCTCTGGAGCATTTGGAGGAATTGCTCGTTAATTGAGCTGACCATGACAAACAAAAGGAGGAATTACATTCCAAAAGTATGAGAAAATCCCCAAAAATTTGCCAGCTTTCCTTCAAGCATGTGGACAGAATAGAAGAATATAGAATCATTTCCAGGCTAAAGTGACCTCCAGCATAATATTCTGTGCAATTTTTTTTTTTTTCGTTTCTGGAAGAAACGTAATTACGGTATGACTTATTACGGTATGCCTTCCATTTATTTGTTCATAAACGTGTCATTTTTTTATAAAGAACTGTTCAGTACTTCCGTACGTGCTGGTTTTCGCGCCCTTCTTAGAACAGCAGTAAATTATGTACGCGTACTATATTGGAAATGCCAGCAGTTCAAGTATGCAGCATGCTTAAAAAAAAATCCTCGTCTATGGTACCGGCTTAGTGAAGTAATCGAAGAGTTCTAAAATATATCTCCGTTTTTGACACATTTCTAACCCTTGAAATTAGGACTTCTTTTTGGAATTGTTTTATTTTATTTTTTTATTTATAGACCTTAAAAATGTATAATAGCTGTATACACATGCATAAATTGTATTGTGAATCTCTGGAGCATTTGGAGGAATTGCTTGTTAATTGAGCTTACCATGACAAACAAAAGCATTAAATTCCAAAAGTATAAGAAAATCCCCAAAAATGTGCCTGCTTTCCTTCAAGCATGTGGACAGAATAGAAGAATATAGAATCATTTCCAGGCTAAAGTGACCTCCAGCATAATATTCTGTGCAATTTTTTTGCTTTCGTTTCTGGAAGAAACGGAATTACGGTATGACTTATTACGGTATGCCTTCCATTTATTTGTTCATAAACGTGTCATTTTTTTAAAGAACTGTTCAGTACTTCCGTACGTGCTGGTTTTCGCGTCCTTCTTAGAACAGCAGTAAATTATGTACGCGTACTATATTGGAAATGCCAGCAGTTCAAGTATGCAGCATGCTTAAAAAAAAATCCTCGTCTATGGTACCGGCTTAGTGAAGTAATCGAAGAGTTCTCCTTCTTAGAACAGCAGTAAATTATGTACGCGTACTATATTGGAAATGCCAGCAGTTCAAGTATGCAGCATGCTTAAAAAAAAATCCTCGTCTATGGTACCGGCTTAGTGAAGTAATCGAAGAGTTCCTTATGGCAGCATTCTGAAGCATTATAGTCAGAATAGATCGATCAAATGGGCGGTAACCATGACAAATTCGCAATTCTAAGGACTTACCCCGATCATTCAGGAAGAAGTACGCTTGAACGCCGTTTCAGTTCTCAATGGTCATTCACGTACCTTCGCCACATCTATTGCTGGAGTTTTCGCAACATCTAGAAAGAGAACATCTTACTTGACTAGGTGTCACTGCACGTTCACCAGTAAAGTACCTCACTGTGTGTTGTTAGTTGTACTGCTGTATCCTACATGCAATTGAACTACAGTATTTTTAAATGGACTCTAGTCTAAGGGACAATAGGGTCAAAATTCAAGCTTAATTGAGATGATCACATGCTGTACATTTTCTTTCGCTTGCATTGGCGTCCCCATTAATCATATTGCAGCAAACCCTACCATCTCACGAATAAATTTTAAAAATCCCAACTGCAAATCTCGGTACACTAGTGCGAAGAAATGATCAAATCTTGACGACAACAATGATCAAGTTTCATTTCAATCTCTCTCGGCATCCTGTATAGCATCTTTTCGCCAAAATGGCTTCACGTAAAGTTCAGCACGAATCATTTCGAAAAGAAAAGGGGGAAATCGCGATTCGCCCCTTTCCCATACGAAGCAAAGCTCACATTTGCTAAGGAACAGCACAGCTCGCTGGAAGGTCGCAGACCGTTTTCACACATTTCCTGACCTTCATTTACTCGAACAAAAAAATAAGAGACCGCGATCATCTCGTTCAGGCCAAATGAAGCGTCAGTTCAAAGCAAGTGAATTTAGCACAAAAACAATGAATTCGTAGGATCAAATCGGGGTTCCGGAAAATGGCAGAATTTTGAACCTCAGTAGCCCAAAAATTCATGTAATGGACGGACAGATTTGGATTTTATTAAAACATGCGAAAAAATTACTTCCACTCCGGTTTTCAGGGACAAACACGCACGGAATGGACGCGCATGTTTTGCAGTTACGAATGCAAAACTTGAAACGACATTTAAGCAAATAATGGTAAAATTCCGCTGATCCTTGAAACACGCCTCACTGTGTCAGTGATGAGCGTTATTAACTGAAAAAAGGTTAGTGAGAACTTGACGCGTATGCGTGGAACAAAATGAGCACCAATTTTTGAATCATCATGCCTCTTAAAATATAATGCAGTTCAATGAAAGCAAACTACTGTCCTCCAACGAAAATTAACGTTGCAAGAGTTGCAAAACCTCACGACGGCGTAAATTAGGTAAATACATAATTCTACTGTTTTCCAAGAAAATCGCGTCTGACATAATTATACAATTTCATTCCAAATGTTATTTTTGGGAATCCATTCATAAAATGCTTTGAACTCGTCTTCAGCGGCATGAGCATTTTCATCGCCATTGAGGAACTGATCTTTCAAATTGGTGCAAATTTATGGACCACATCATAATGGGATCCAAGTCCTGCGGTAATGGTTTTTTTTCTTCTTTGGAATTGAATTCAAAATACGACCCTTTCAAGCTAGCGTAAATGCAGAGCAGTAATTCTCAAAACTTCAAACGCTTTCTTTACCTTGAATATAATATAAAGTGCATTAAACCACAGACCGCTTTGTCTTCAAGTTAATCCAATGCGAAAAATCCAAAATCCCATGTCAAAATCCCGCGACTTCGATCAACTATTCAGCAACCAAAATCAGTGGATAGAAGTGAATGTGAGATTTTTGGGAAAGATGCAGAAAAGCATACCAAATGGAATGCGAGGGTTTTTCCTCCCCATTCCAAGAATGTTTTCAACCAATACAACCGCCATCTCAGTCCAGCAAAATCACACGCATTCCTCGCGACGAAGAACGGCCTCATTTTTTTCTGCACATAACCTCAAAAATAAATCATTGCAGCATTGGCTTTGCTTCTTCTTCTTGCGTAAAGAATAGTCGAGAACACGATGGAGGACTCACGTCAAACCCGATAACAATCGCTTCCAATTTCAAGCCGCGAGAGAAACTTACACAATTATCACTTTTTCTGACGCTGGATTCATGAACTGAAACATCGTTTTCAAGATTTTTTACTTTGTCAGAGAATTAGCGAAAAAGGCACTCGAATTTGAATTGCAACGAATCCTTCAGCGACTTGTTCTCTCCAACTGGGCAAAAAAAAAAAAGTGTTGAGCAGAAAACATCACAGCAGGATGAAAGCATCCCACAAAATCCAGAAAAATCGTGAGTCATCCAACGCATTCACAAAACACGTCATTCAAACCATTAACAAGAGTCTCGTCCGAAAAACGAAAACATAACAAAAAACTTTCCTCGTCGCACAATGCATGTGAGCGAGTTACCGAAAGGCACGGACAGTAATTTGGTCCTCAAGTTACATTGCTTACAAAACATGGCCTCAAGCAACAATTCATCCCCTTTTTCCTGCCGTATCGCACTTGTTCTCAACTCAATGCAAGGAGATAAAATTAACCAACAATGGCACATGCACGCGCAAGGCTTAATCAACCAAGGCTTCATGGGACAGAGATATTTCTCATTCCCGAGGTTGAACGGGATTCGCGCTAAACTGAATTTGCAAGGAGCCACAAATGCAGATCACGACTCGAATCTTTTGATTACTTTTTCATATGAATCCAAGGGACAACATGAGGTCACCAAAAAGAATATTACTTCGACGGAGGAACTTCTACTGTGCAAAACAAGAACTTCAAACAATAAAACGATTTGCCTGAGAAAACCCAGTGCTTTCAATAGTTACGTGAAATCTGCAGTGCGAATCGAGTTGCTCACGCAACAGGGAATACCCACGAAAACAAAATAAAAATTCAATTGTAACCCCAGCGCAAAAAAAAAGAAAAAAAAAACACCCACTCGTCGCGATCGCAAGAGTAAGGCCACTGCGAAACAATTTCATCACCACTAGAACTCGGATTTACGATACTCCTCTTCGCACTGCATCCGAGTTTCATTGAAGGCTTTGGTTTTCAAGAAGTCCACTGTTTTATACACTGTGCCCGAAGAAGACACCGCCGCGGGGCAAGCAGACGGTGGAGCAGAAACAGCTTGGCTCGGAAAGTAGTAGTCACTCAGTTCGACGTCTGCTTCCGCTTCTTCGCGTCGCTGAGAGGACTCCAAGTCCAGCGTGACGTATTGCAGCCGCGAATGGTCATCCGTGTACAAGGAACACTGGAAGGAAAGAAAAAACGGCAATTTTACAGCTATTTCCATAAATTCAATTCAGATGACGAACTACCCAAGTATTGCGCACAAAACAATGCACTTTTTTCTTTATTTTTTGGACTCAGAAAACAAATAAGTGTGAGAATCGGAATTCATGGCTAAAAGCGTGTTCACGGCGTGGTTTATAAATGTGCAGGCTTTATAAAGATTCAACTTTCTGAAAAATTGTCAAAAGCAGAACAATTTTAGGGCACGATATGAATAAAAATCATAAAAGTGAAAATAAACTACAGTATCTCGGAAATACTGCACGTGGGATGCTTCAACTTCGTTTAACAGACGCGCGATACAATCTCACGAAATTATTTAAAATAAACGTTGCATATCTAGGGTTTCTGAAACAGTTAAGCCTATGAGATGATGAAAGTAACAGAAGACGATTTTGACTTATTCCGAATATTTATCGACAGATTTTCACGAGCTGCGGTCAAGGTTACTTCATTGGGTCATATCAGAGGCTTCGTATTTTAATATCAGTCATTAAACCATTCAGAAACAGTCGCTTGATTAAGTGCTTATACGTAATTTTTAATTTCCTGAAGACAATCAGAATAGCTGAACCCCACGTAAGAAGTTACGAAAAAAGGTACTGAAAAAGTACTCTCCGTCCTGAACAACCACACACACACACACTACATCAAATTGAATCATAAAAAAAATGTTAATCGAGGCGTGTCATTGTCCATCCAGCGCTACGAAGTTCCTGGAAGTTCAATAAAATTTCGGTGGAATTTCGAGCAGAGCGCAATTTAGTATTTCAGATTAGTTGGCACTCATTCTCCCAGTTCGGGAAAATTGAGAGACGTGAAAAAAAGACGATGGCGATTTATACCCACGTGACCACAGCAACTCTTTGAAAATAGTGCACATCCAAAGGGTCATTAATTACAGCATATCGAAATTATCTGAATATTTCCTGCGCGATGAATAGTCCGAAATTGATAACGAAATCATTCCTTCGCGAGTGTTATTGCATGAATGCCTAACAAGATATGCGCCTAATATCTCAATTTCACAATCCCACTCCTGAAGACATTCACAGCATTCGCTGCAACAAAAATAGGATTAAGAAATTGATCTTTCAGTCTACCATTTTTCACAGCTAAGTTTTTTTGAAAATCCCACAAGAATAGGACAACTATATTTTCGAGTGTCACGGCCCCATGGGGTCTGCCCACCAAGCAAACAACACCGTTCACTGCGAAACTCCACAAAATAAATGACACAGCGCGACATGGGTAGTGACGCATGAAGTTTCAGAAGCGCGTACGTCAGGCTGCACTGAACGATTTTTTTTACGCGATTGCTCTCCAACACTTCACGGCAAGCAAACGTAATTTATTTGAGCTGGTTCGAAACGATGAGAAAACTTGTATCTAGGTTTTTGTTGAACAAGGGGGACCTCATCTGCGTTCAAGTGCCCCAGAAGTACTTGAAATTACTGTATCATGATACTGTATCGTAATTCTGATTGAAAGCTGCTTGTCAAGGTTACGTTCGGTCAATTGGGCTTTTGGGTAGGTCACAAAGCACTGACGGGTGAAATACACTTAGGACCGGCGGGAAGATCAATTTTCATTCTCCAGATTTTTCTTGTAAAGGAATTCACACAAATGAAACAATAACTCGAAAACACACTCTTGTTCATTCGTTGCAGTCATTTATCCATCAACTTCCGATTTAACACTAAAATGGGTGAAGCCCTCTTTCAACTACAGCTTTTCAGGACGAGGAACGAACATGACTACAAGAATCACGGTTTTTTCAATGAAATTTTTGAAGTTCAAAACTCACATCTGCTTCGTCGCTCCCTGCACTCGGCATTCTTGTCACTGGAAATCCAGAAATCACAGCGAACTCTTGCTTCCGAATCCAACTTTGGCAGCCCGCAGGTGGCGGCGCCAAAGGAAAACCTGGTTTCACACATTGAAATATTTTCGAATGAATATTCTTCAGTTATCCAGGACTCTAGTTACAATACAGTGCAGACTCGGCAAAATTCAGAAGAAACTGAAGTATACAAGCCTCTCCAAGTCAGAATTGAAAGGACCAGTGAAAAAATTCCACTGATAAGAGGCTTCGATTTGGGGCTGAAACTGCTTGAAATTAGCGAACAAACTTTAGTTTGAGAGGTTCTATACTTGGGGAGGTTCGAGTTAAAGAGGTCCGACTGCACTGTACCATAATTCGCAATAGCACATTAGATTGCATCTTTCAAAGAATGAAGGATCACTCCATAAACAAGAATCATGAAATAAATTATCCATAGAAACTACGCACGTTCGCCAATCATTTTCTCAGGTTTGATACTCCTGTCAACGGTAGGAGCGCTCCTGGGCTTAAGGTTGCGATCGATTGGAGGTCCAACACAAGTATCGACCGCTCTAATCGCCTCTTCATCATACCTAAGAAAAAACCCGAAAAAAAAACCATATGGATAAGTCTTTCCTATCCAACAAGAAATTCCGAATATTTTCGATATCAATAAACGATACCACAATTAACAAAAAAACCCGACAGGTGATTCTCACCTGAACACCACGGGACCAACAGGTGAACTTGCGGGAGTAGGCTTAGGATCTCTGGGTCTTTCAGGAGCAGCTCCACCACTGATGCATTCACTTATTGGTATGTAAGGACTCTCCTCTTCGCTATCTTTCTCTACGCTTCTCTCCGGACCGCGTCCACAAACCTTCCACAACATTTCTAACCACAATTTCAAGTCGTCTTCAAGCTCCGTGGCCAAATAGTAAACACGCTTCGTTGTGTGAACATCCATCACAAACTGATATTTGCCTCTTGAAGTTCCACGCTCCACCCTACTACAATCCTCAAGATCTATTCTGCCTTTCAATTTTTTGCATTCGGAGTTAGAGTAGTATTCCAACACGAAGTTTCCAGGTACCAGCGCCGGACGAAGGACGAAGTAGCGACGTCGCCATTTAGCTTTGATCACGGGTTTCGTGGGCGGGGATTTAACGAGCCATCCTTCATGAATAACTTCGCCTGTTGACGGGGTACGCGACGAAAAGGACGGTGAAGAAGACAACCACGAAATCGGCATCACGCAGTTCGTTACCGAGCAGCAGAATAATGGCTACGCCTTCTGGTTTACTACAGGGCACATACCTGTAAACGAAGCGCAAACATGAACACTGACAAGCCAAAAAATAAAACAGAAAATGTATGCCCACCACAAAGCCCTTGCACTGCCATATGATACTTTACTTTCATCACACGGAAAATTTTCAGAAGTAGTTGAATAAATGCAAACCAAAATGGACCTCATTGAGCCCAAGTATGATGGACAACAGCGCTAGGATTTGTGATCTCCTGATTGTTCACCACCTGTTCCACCCAGCAACTGATCGCGCGTGGGAACTTAATGGGGCGCAGATTCTAAAGAGAGACAGCAGGTAGACATGTCTAATGCAATTCCAAGAGCTTATCAGCAATGCAAAGTTTTATCCGGTCTGACATCCTGCTACCGCACAGCTGACATGCAGTACGTATTCACTACGTTGACTTATTAAGTGATCACTATGGTGAATTGGTGACGATGTACCGGCATGACAAATTTTCTCTCGAACTCATCATTGGCAATGCTCCAGAGTATCTCTACAAAGAACAGAAATGTTGAGTTTTTAAGTTCAATTTACCAAAAAATGCAACACGGATTATACGTAAATAATCTCCACAAAGCATAAGTTTTACAAAAATATCGCATATTTATTTCTCAAACGAGCCGAAATACCCCATTCGAATATTTTCCAACAATTCCATGGTTGAACTCTTGGTCGACTTGACGCACCTGTAGGGTGAACACGTTCGTCCATAGCATGAACCTTCAACAACGACACATAGATATGATTCAGGACAAGAACCCGGTCTGCAAATTTTCTGAACATCAATGCATCTTCCTATTCCCTTGACCAAGACACACACGTGACCCTGAGAACATTGAATCTGCTCACAAGGATGACCAGATTCCTGTTTTCTGCACCATACTGGCAATACCGGACAAGATGCGCCCCAACAACCACCATTCATGAACTTGCCAATGACACATTGCTCATCCGGAGAGCAATTTGCCCACGAGCACAAGTCTGCATTTTTACGACAAATGGCCAAAGACCCACAATTCAAAGATTGAAAAGCTCTGAGAGACAATGTACACGGTAAAATTCGAACAAGGCACACTTCGGTCGATGAACAGGTGCCTGGCTGACAGTGTTTTGAAATCAGCATTTCCATCTTGGTGACAACCTGGGATATCCTGGATTCCCCTGGTAAAAAAAAATACAAGTTTAACAACACGAGACTCAAGAAATAAAGTGATTTTTTTCAACTTGGAAAACATTTGGATTTTTTACTGAGTGCAGGTTACAAAGGGGAGATGATGAAAGCTGAGCTGCGCAAACTTTTTAAACTGACAAACTCGCCGCAAAAACTCCATTCCAAAATTGTTTATCCTCGTCGAATATAAATTTTAAACTCATCCAATCTATTCAAAATTCATAAGTACTCGGTTATCAATAATATTAATATTGTTCGCAAATGTCAGCAAACGAAGAAATGGAAATGGCGATAATTTAGTTTGATTTTTTTTTATGCAGTATTATACAAAGGTTACATACAAGAATAAGGTCTAAGAAAATATAAAAGCCGCCATAAAAAACAAGTAAAAGGTTCAATACAAGAAAATGGAAAAGCTCAATTTTTTGAAGAGGTAAAATTAATTTTCAATTTAAAGTCAGTCGAAAAATAATCTTTTCGTTGACGCTCATGACTACAAGACAGTTTGAAAAAGCCTTTCAAAAATAGTCACATCATTTCAGCCATCCACGAGAGATTCTTTTAGAACAAAATCATACTGAAGACCTAAAATAACACATAAAATACAGTACATATAACGCAATTAAATTCAACAAGGCTTACCGGAAGCTCCTTGATCCCGCTTGAATGTGATTGACCCTGGCTTAATTTTTAATCCATGTTTTGGATAAGGAACCACAGCAGAGGGAAAATTACTATCGTATTCAAATCCGACATCGACGGGAGAATTGTCGGTTTCATCGAAATTCGAATCAACAGTGGTAGCGCCACAAAAAGTGCTGGGTACTTTTTTAATGATCATATCCTTTTGACAACCAGCAGCAAGCATGTGGCACTCTGTTGGATACACTAAACCGTCAGATCCACAGATTGATCCAAGTGGTGCACTACTTTGTGACGATGAGGAACAATCATCAGGACAAACACACGCTGCCACACCAGAAATGATCTTGCATTTTTTGGGGGAGATGCAGTTGACTTTCGAGCAAGGATCCGCTACAAATAATTTTCCAACTGTTCACATCACTATGCCGGTGACTAAAATGAGCTGAACCATCGCTTACCGTCAATATGACAAGGTCCATAGCTTTGAATTCTCAAATCCAATCCGGTTTCACACGCTTCCTGTTTGACGTGACACTCTGATGGATACGATCTCCCATCAGTTGCGCACACAACCAATGTGTCAATCTGATTCCCTGCGTCTCCGAACTGCGTGGCACCATCGATTGTCAAAGTGCAGTTGTGTTGGCAGACGCAAACCGCCTCTTTATTCTCCTCAAGGCATTTCCTTCCCTCAACACATTGGATGGATTCACAAGGACCTGCACAAAATCGCCGGTTTATCTCATTACAGTAAAATCGATCTTTCAAAAAAAAGATAACCATACCTTTATTAGCGCATTCTCCGCTGTGCAATGGTTTGATAACTTGTTTAAGGTGACACGCCAAAGACGTCAAGTGACACATCGATCTATACGTTCTACCATCATCAGCACAGACTGGTTCCCACATATTCTGGCAAGCTGATATCGGCGTGCATCCACAAACGGCTTTAAAGCCGTTCTTTTCCTCGACACTCGGAATTCTTTGGCATACTGAAGGCGATTGACAGTCAAGTAACTCACAGGGGTCTGCTGTTGAGGAAACAAAAATACCAGAAATTGAAAACAATTTCGTCTGAAATACTTTTAGGACATCGCGTACTTTCGGAGTATTCCTGCGTATTTTTCAGACACGGTCCTCTCGCGGAAATCGTCAAATTTTTCCCTGATCTGCAAGAGGCAACATCTAGGTGACATTCAGACTGGTAAGTGAAGCCGTCAGATCCACATATCCTGTGACTGCTGCCCAGGGAAGGACAGTCATCTCTACAGCTACATTCCGCTGCATAAACTCCATCAGGATACTGTATCGTTCGACAGACGCCACCAAGCACACACTGAATTCCTTCGCAATGATCTGGTGCGGGAAACATTGTCAAAAGCATATATTATTCAAATGACGTTTTCGTGAATTATTCTACTCGTATCCGGAGCAACCATTTTCACGCGATGGTGCTGCATGGTAGCAAGGCTGATATTTCGCGAGTGAAATTTCAAATGAGAGCCAAGAGGCTTTGATATTTCAAACTTACCGATTTGCGGACAGGAATCTTGCTGCAAAACCTCAACATGAGCATTCCTTTGACAGGTCAATGTGATCAAGTGGCACAAGCTCGGATACAAAACTTTGTCAGTGCCACACACAGGACGCAGAACCGATGGTCCTTCTTGTAAAGTAAGTAATTTGAGGCACTCGTCAATTGATGGACAGACGCATTCAGGCTCTCGTTTCGCCCCAAGTCTGCATTTTCTCGGATGAATACAAGCAACTCGTTTGCATTTTTCATTTTCTATGAAACCAGCAAAAATATTAGCACCAGCAGAAATTCATATTAAAAAGGCGACGGGACAGTTGAGCGCGTCCCGAAACCGGCATTTTCAGAAAACTCTGTTTTTTAAGGAAATATTATTCAAATTAAACTTCGGTAGACTAATTTAACTGAACTTTTCATCATTTTCTGACGCTGAAAAGCAGTCTCGCATAAGTTTTCCAAAAGACTTATGGCGAACTTTTCCTGCATTGGACGCGCTGTTTTGGTACATAGTGTACTCAACTGTCCGTCACTAGTACATAGGAAATACCTTCGGATGGACAGGGTCCTTGATGAAGGACCTTGAGAGATCTTCCGGTCTGACAGCTTCGGAGTTGGAGGAAACACTTGGACGCGTAAGTTTCCTTGTCAGAGCCACACACAGCTTCTGAACCAGCAATGGCGGAAGGGCATTTTATGTCACAGACACATTTCGGCCCAAACTTGGATTCCATACAAATTCTGGGAGGAACACACTTGACGCCGAAACACGGATCTATTAAATAGGGTTTCAACAGAATCACACTAAAACTCAAGTAGTAAAAAAAATCGCGAATTCTCCTCACCGTCACTTTCACAAGGCCCACTATGGGCAATTTTCAATTTTTGATGACTTTGACACGCTGTCAATTTCAGCTGACACGCATTCGGGTATGTTTTCGCGTCTGAACCACAAACTGGATCATGCTGCTCCGCTGAACAGTCCATTTCGCATGAACACTGGAAACCTCCTTTGGCAACATCCATTTTACAAACGCCTCCACTTTCTCGGCATTGCAGCTTTTTGCAAACATCTGTGAATGACCCGGTTCAAAAAAATAACGTACAGTACTTGAGAATAACTGTAAAACATGCCATAAAAGAATTCCTCGACTTCAAGATGTTTTGATTTCCTAGCACCACAAAATCGAAGAAAAGGTTGCTCTCAAACCCAAGAATCGACATTGGTCTCCAAATATTTCATAAACCTTTTTCATAAGGGACTGATCAGAATCTGCACAAGTTTTCGGATGCAAATATTTTCTTAGAAACAACGCATTGCAATGAGAGCAAATGCGAATAAATGCACAATTCGATTTCCCTTAAAGCGAAACTAACCTTTCAAACAGAAATACTACCTAAGTTCGAAAATTAACAGAATGAGAAAATGCTCTCTAAAATTCCGGTTTCTTCAATAATTTGTATGTATTCATTCGAGATCATGCTTTAAACTTATCCTCAGAAAGTCGACGCGTATTTTTGAGAATAAAAGAAGAAAAAAAGTTCTTCACGCGTGAAATAAATATTTATTCTTGCAACAAATTCACAGTTTTGACCAGTTTTAAGCCAGCATTTTAAATGCTAACATGACACCCCGATTTTTCAGTCTAAATTTGGGTGTACGATATAAAGCACGTTTGAATTAGCAAATATGATAGTTCCTCCGCATCAATAAAATTAGTTAAATTACCATCTTTCTGAAGAACGGGTGGTTGACAAGGGCCGCGGTTGACAACCGTGATTTCTTGCGATACTCTGCAAGCTCGAAATTTGAGCGCGCACAGATCTGCGTACGTCCTGTCATCAGATCCGCAAATCGCGCCAGAAAACTGCTCAAGCCTTTTACTGCAATCAGCGTCGCATTTGCACACCGGACGAGCCACAGAATCCACGAAGCATCGCCTCGGGCCGAGGCATGTCACGCCGTAACAAGGATCTTTCTTCTTGTCAAACGAATTCTCTTGACTACCCGCGTTCTTATCGTCGCTTTCTTCGGACATCGGACCTCCTTTCAATCCGATACATTTCCCAGCGTACGCAATGTCTACCTGGCTTCTGGCGAAATAACAACTGGAGTATATCAGGTGGCAAGCACTTGGGTAAGTATAGCCGTCTGTTCCACAAACTTGTTCCCGGGGCGAGTTCCGACACGCAGATTTGATTCCGTCGGGAAAATGATTCTTATTCGGACAAACGCAAATTCCTTTTTCGTGATCTGTAGTGGAAATGCAACGCTTTGGGGCAGGACACTTATCTTTGCAGTACGGCGATTTCACAGGTTCATCTGGTGGAATAAGAAGATTTTTGGTCGCAAAAACCGAATTAAAAAAAAATCTGAGGAATTATTTCGGAGATATTTTCGTGCGTTTTAAATCCAATGTGCGTTTCAGAAGATTTTTTCGAAATCAACAGCAGCCAAAAGGGGATAAAGACAATTTAGGAGAAAAACATTTTCAAGACTGGAAAAACGGAGACAGGCAATTTGCAACAGGGTCAATTTCGGATAGAGATAATTTGAGACGGTGAAAATTAGAAATGGCAAAAATTGGAGACGGGCAAATTTTGAGAAAAGATTGGAGAAAGTAGCAAAGGAGAACTAAACTGAAGCATCTTCAGGACTGGCAGATGAAGTCATAGCCACAGTAATGATTCTGAAGTTCTTCATGCCCGTCCAAAGAAGGAAAGAGTATTGGAAAAAATCGAAAAGAGGAAAAACGCTCTGTATTGTAAGAAATTTGAATTCAGTGTGCATAGTTCCAGAAGAATATAAAGGAGCAAATTGGATGGATAAAAATCATCGGCGTTTGATTCTGTGGAAGAAGATTTAGGCAGAATTGTCATGTTTGGGAGTCAAAGGACCGCACAAGAGAAGTCATGGAGCTCCATTCACTTCCATCTCGAATTGAAAAATGAAATTTGTCTCTAATTGTTAATGTCTCGAATTGTACACATCTCAAAATATAACTGCAGATGTCTCAAAATTTTCCAGTCTCAAATTACAAATACCTCCAAGTCTTTCTGTCTGTCTGTCTCACATAGTCCTTGTCTCAAAATGTTTCTTGTATCCAAATCTTCATGTCTCAAATTCTCCCTGTGAGCAATGACACCAATTCTACCCATCACCAATTTTCCTAGTTTCAAATTGTCCCTGTCTCAAATTTTCCCCTTCTCAACTTGTCCCTGTCTGCCTCATAACTTAGCGTTCCTGCCTCAAATTGTGCTAGACCCAGCAAAAAGCATATAAATAAAAGGTGGATTATGAAATCATGCTGCAACATCCCTTCAATAGGAACTCAAAAAATTAAACTTGCAGTTGATTAAATCACAGGACATGATTTAAAATTTCATGGCTGATCTTAGGGCCCTTTTTTCAACGCTGATTTCGGATCAAAATCTTTTGGATAGAGTACACGGCGAATAGCTTCGGTCAGGCGAATACTCAAGCTTAGTTACAGCAGAAGTAGGGCGCGGAAATTTATCAACCGTGCAAGGCGAATGATAAATCACACGGACATCGCAAAAGACGAATCAAGGTAGGGAAAACGTGGACCAAAAAAAAAAAAAAGCAATTCCGGATACAGCGCCTCTCGGACTACTTCCACGCTTCCTGATCTACCCAACGCAGCGCGAATGCTCATTATCCACGAATCCATCATCAACGTGATTAGTTGTGCGCGTAATTGAACTGATGAGACCCGTTCTGAATATCACGACGGGGAAAAGGAGAATATTTCACTTATAATAAGCAATGATTCCGTACTACAGCACGCACTGAAAACTATTCCCATCGTAGAAGAAAATATCAGACCGGGGCCTCACTGGAATCAGAAGCTTGAGTTACTTTGGAATAAATTTTATGCGAACAACGTTCTTTTTACACCATATCACTTGCTCACGTGAATAAAAGAGGACATCAATTCCAAAATGCACGGGAGTTTTTGGCTCCTCAAACTGAAAAAAAAAATGGTCAGCCGAGGTTTATCCAATAAACAATGCTACGCTTCACAGTACGAGGTTTCGTGAAATCTACTGCACAGCGGTTTATTGCGACGTGCGCCAATCTTTTTCAGGAATATATCCTCAAACAGAAAAACGGTTCAATTACCGACCACAATGAAAATGTTCCCGTGTATACCATGCAAATTAAAAAAAGACACTATAAAGAGGAAATTAATTTAGAAACTGCTTGACACACTTCGCCAAATTTTGAATCGCAATCTAGTTCAGTCTTTTAATGATTGAAACGTATCCGAAGAGTTCCAGATCTATTGCAGTAAAATCTTGTTGAAATAAGGTTTAAAAAAAAATGTCAGCATAACAAAATTGTTTCAGGTCCTCACAGAAATCCAACTGGATAAAAGTTAGACTTTCCAATAGGCTCATAGACTTTCCAATTCCAGTATAAAAAACTTTTAACAGAACATCTTTCACTGAACTTGTCAATGGAGTCTCCTTGTAAGCTTTTTTAAAACTACTGTACATCAGGTGAGCAGAGTTTCAAATTTCCAATTCCAAATGTTATTATGACTGCTTCACAAGCCTTAAGAAGAAAAACCAAGGAAAAAATGGCTTCTAAGTGTACCAAAACATTGTTCCAGGATAGACAGGTTTTCTGGGGGTGAGTGACAAAAATATATCCTTAGCACAACAGAATTTGTGCCACAATGGGTACAGGAATTGCTTGAAAGGTTGATTATTCAGGAAACCTTGCTCCTCCAGATAACATCATTTGTTTACACCATCCAATCTCCACCAGGGATTATCCAGAAAAACTTACAGTTCACAAAAAGTGCTTGTTTTTATCCGCTAACTCTTCATTTTTGTCAGCACATCTTTGCAACAATTTTGCTAGTAGGAACTAGATATTATATTGAATATTGCATTTGTGTAAATAGGGCGCAAAGGTGGACTCTCTGTACACCGAAGTTCAAGGAACCCGAAAAAAAAATCGTTGTACACAGAATTTCTTCATAGATAACCCCCATAACATATAGACAGGACCCTTTTCCTACGGGACCGAAAAAACTGTTATACAGAGAATATCGTTGCATAGACAAGATCGTTGTAGCGAGGGACCACCTGTATCAAGTACAGTGACAGTCTTTTGGAACTGAAGATCCGCCATGGGATCTTCAGTTCCAGAAGGATCCTCTGATTAAGATTTCGAAGCAACGACTCAAACTCACCAAAGACGCTGTGTTGCTGATTATCCAGGTTTTGAGTGTCCGAATCAGAGGCGTAAACCACTGGATGATCCTCCGGCAAATCGCTCCATAAGCTGCCGGCATTAGGGACTTGACAAAGACACGTTGGACACGGTTTATCCGGCTGCAAAGCCACTGAGCAACCCGCAGCACACAAAGGTACTGGACAATGCTTCGGCACGCAATGGTGTTCTCCAGACAGTTTCAAACAGAAACCAGTCGGACACGCGGTTTTCTGAAATTAGCTCACGATACATTTTTACGAACAAAAAAATGTACAGTAGTTTCAATCTCAAACTTTGGGAAAGTTTGCACGCACGAGGACGTAAGTTGTTAATTCGATGAGAAACGGTCAAAATAGTCCGAGAAGGGGTCGATCTTGAAAATTGTTTTAGTTGGAATCTCACGACAGTCGAATGAATCGTCAAAACAGAACATGATCGTCCCACGCTATTTCGGACATACCTCGAGTGATTATCCTCAATTATTTGCCTTACTATAAGAAACCTTTGTACCCTATATTTCCTTCAAGTTGAGCACCGATTGAAATTCAAAGCACCGTCAAATTTTAAACTTCGGATCTTCATGAGGAAATACGCTTTATTATTTTTCAAATACTAGCAGGACCCCAAGATGCGGACGAAATTGTGCTTAAACTATGCCCCAATGTCGAAACGTCCGCATGTTGCGTCACGTTTTCCCACAGACTCCAATGGAAACATATTTAATTGGCTCACTTGTTAATAGAAAATTAAGACTATAGTCACAAAAATGTGTATAATTAATTCACGATACAGAAAATAAATTTACAAAAGAAAAAAAAACAGAATATTATCCTTTGGTATCAAATGGATCTCAAGAAGCGAAGAACAAACACAATATCTTGCTATACTGTACTATTCAAAGTTTCAAACAAATAATGAAAAAACTCTGAAAAAAAGAAGCACAAAATAAGCCTTTCTGGCTATGGATTACGGTAATTTTATAATTGAATTTTTTTACATTTGTGAATGTAAACAGCTCAATTTCTTCAAGACATATCAAAGTTAAATGTTTACAATTTTCTAGAAATGTTGGAAAAGTGTCTATATCTCGAATCATTGCCCGGATGTTAAGGGTACATTTTTTTTTAGCTTCAAGTACCCTTAAGTCAAAGTGTCCGTATGTTGGGGTCCCACTGTGCTGGATTGTGTTATTGCGAAACTTGATTCGATTGCAACGATGGCAACCTGACCGACCAAGCTTAACGATAAAATTTGATATGCATTACATTAATAGAGATCACACGTCACTTGGGGGGGGGGGGGGCAATTTTGATCAACCAGTTGATTATACACCTCGCAAACTTGCTCTTGATGACTCACAGGCATGACGAATATTTCAAAAATGTAAAAAAAAGAAAGAAAATAAGAATGAAGAAGCTCACACCGCAATGATCCGCTTTCGGTTGAGTCTCGATATCTTCCACCCCTTCGCAAGAATACTTGGCACATTCCCACGGCTCAGATATGATCTTGCAGTTTCTGTCCTTGGGGAAATTGATCGTCTTACAGCCGGTTCTGGAACATTCGAGACTCGGTGGCGATCGACAAACGCACTCGACGTTCGGAAGCAACTTGAAAGTGTAGCCGATCGGGAACAAACTTGACCCGAGTCGACAATTTTCTTCCGTCGTTTCCTGACCTGAACCTCTCCGAGATCCAAACGATACGGACTGATGACTGAATGCTTGTCCCCCGAGCCTCAGAGCTAATTTATTCATTGATTGATTGAATAATTAATTATTACCGCCGTTTCCGAAAATTAGACGCAGTTGAGAAGAAATACCGTATTTACTGGAATGTAAGACGCCACTTTAATTCTAAGAACCTACAGTATACAGTTTTCCGCCTCTCACACTGAGAAAAATTAAATGGAAAATTGCTGGAAAATATACTGTATAAGATGCACTATCATTTGCTTCCTATCCGTAAAAGGAATCTAATGTACAATACATGAAACCATAAACCGCACCGAATTTCCATGACGATGTTGAAATATCTTCCCGCGTGAAGCATTGAAATGACAGCTGGCAAATGAGGGTTCTGCAATTTTCTTTCGAGTGAAATTGAATTTACGAGCAAAATTATGAATACCACATCCAAAAATTATATTTACTGTTCAGTAATCTCTCAGATTTGCACTTCCAATTGAGGCTTTCTGTATTTAGTTTAGATTCTTTAGAACATGCAAAAGGCTTTCCTTCCATGATAGAGATACCGATTTTGCATTCATACGAAAACTAATTTGCGTATTAAGGACACACAGAATGTAGAATTACACTTTTTTTAAACCTTTACTAATCAGCTAAAAGCATCATAAAATGCCTAGGATAAGAATATTCCTCAAGATACGTAATATTTCGCCCAAGATCACGGACACCCCGACTTACGGACAATTCAACTTAGGGACACTTGAAACCCAAACAATATATCCTAACATGTCTCGGAACATTTTTTTTTAAATTTTGATATCTCTGGAACAAATTGAGCTATTGTACTTATATTTGAGAAATTAAAATATTGTATTATAAATTTACTCTAAATCATGATCAAAAACCGGTTAATGTTGCGCTTTGTCAGAGTATTTCCCTCTCCATCTGAGCAAAGTGTGGCAAGAATTGTGCAAGCTTTTCTTCCGTACAGTTGTTTTTTGTATCTTGCAATCGAGAAACAGAACATCGAGAAATGAAACATTTTCATTTAATTTTTGATGAACTTTTTCCTAATTTTTTTTAATGAACGGGAGAAGACATTGACATTGCTTCCATTGAAATCTAAGGGAAAACGTGATCGGACACGCCGACGCTTCGACACAGGGACAAGGTCCAAGCAAAAATTACGTCCACATCTCGGGGTCCCCATTTACACAACTATATACTGTACAAAGTGTACAGTAAAATATTGGATACAAAAATCGACTGAAGCAGGGATAGACGATAGCTTGCGGCCTCTCAGTACGTGCTTATTGGGGGCATTAGCTTTTGTAGATACTGTTTTTAAGCTACGCACTCAAAAAATTGATTCAACCAAGCCTTTTTCTTCTCCTTCGGGATCCTTACTCTGAAATAAATTTAGTTCGTAACACTCGAAAAATGAGAATAAGACAAACACGCCTTCACACACGCGCTGTCACAGGGATAATGCAATTGTCAATCTTGAAAGAGCGTCTCACATTCACGTAAAACCGGCATTTCCTGACGATCTCGCGACAAACATACTTTCCGTCGCGACAGCGCAGTAATTCCACAGAGTTAAAGCCACCAACACAGTCCTCATGGTTCAGTGCTTCGGACACCATCCCGAATCAATCACTCGACTCCAGGCCCGTGCGTTCTACACCGTCCGTCGTCCCTCTTCGATCATTTCCCGAATGCAAATTGACGAGTTGGAACAATCGCGAAAACTAAAAAGGTCTCGATTCCACTCGCTGACGAAGAGCGACTGCAAGAGAAAACGGAACGACCGACTCGGCGAGTAGGGATTCCGTTCATCAGCCAAGCGGAACTTCTTCGCTCCTGCAGTGAGACGAGGGTCAATTACAGGACGGCTACGCACAAAATCTTCAAGCTTTTTTTTTAGGTCTCGTTTGAAAAGGCAAAAACTAGATGCGGGTACAGTATTCGGGATGATTCACTTTCCATTCAACATGCATATTCGGTGTCAGCTACGACGCAAAAACTCACGCTTCGATCAAACGTTTCCGACTTTCGGATTATTGTTCGGAAAAAAAAACGCCATCCATAATTTCAAGAGGATTTTTGTTCAGCCACGTTTTCCTTTTCTTTAAATATTCAGGAAATGCACTTCAAGACACGCAAGGATGAACATCCCTGATTATTATTTTTTATTAATCTCCTGAATACATTTTTAAATACAGTATTGTACAATATTTTATTATCCGGGAGAGGGCATGTTGTCTTAGGGCAGGATGATCGGAATTCTTCTGTACTTCATACAACACCACACGATCAATTAAGCCAATATTTTACTGTACAGTCCAACATTTCCAAGTCAAAATTCAAATGAAAAAGCAAACAAAATCGAGTTAGGGAGGTTTCGAGTTACGGAAACGAGCATTTTTGTTGGGAGAGAGAAAGAAGAATTTCAAGAAATTGTAATGGTGGTTTCCTGGGCCTTAAATTTCTTTTGACAGGATGCTAAAGTTAAAGGCAAGAATTTATTCGCCCAATTAGCCTTTCACTTCCTCCCAAAATTCATCTAGTTACATTTTCATCGCGTTTCTCTTTCCTCTACCAATAAAATAATAACCAAAAGGCCTCCAGAAAATTCGAGTTATGGAGGCTTCAAGGGGGAGAGCCTTCGAGTACGGGAGGTTTTTCGATCACTTAATCCATTGTTTTCAAGGGAATTTTGACAAGGACTTGAAAAAAAACGCGACACAGGGAGGTATTCCACTTGGGGAGGTTCAACTGTTGGAAAATATTGTAGTCGACTCGTGTCATGCATGCCATACCGTAGAATACGGAATACATGACACTGCACAACATAAAAAGTTGTGTGCGAATGAAAAAAGTCGAGACCATTTTAATTTAAATTCAAAAAGCCGCGAACGTCCATTCGCCAATCACACGAACTTTCGAAACGCCCACATAAATGATCAAATGTAAGAAATAATTGGCTGCCGAAGAAGGCTAGCAGATTTTCAAATTGCCCATCGCCCAGTGAATCAGAGTGACCACGATTGGTGGAGTAAGTGAATCAGACCGAATAGATTGACGGTAATAGAGTGACGATATTTTTTCGATCCCCAGTTCGCTGTGGTTGATGAGCGACCGAGATAATCAATGCTCAGCAATCAGTACGATTTTGCGTCCACTAAGATTCAATTCCAAAAGCGGTCCATCACATACTGTACCCGGAATTGATCACCTCAAGATCCCGTGAATTTTTGTGTTCGCAATTTTCTCCTCGCAGGTACGAATGAATCACAAATGCTTGCAAAAGCGTGTTTCTCAATTCCTTTCATTCTGAAGACTTCGACAAAAATAATATCCTACACAGTGCGATGAAGCTGAGATGCCCCCGAACAATAAAACTTAACAGTTCGAGTTGAAATTTAATCCATAATTGTGTAATGGGATGAAGCAGGCTGAAGTCCTCTCATGCTCGTAACTTTTTTTTATCGTTTCAGAAGAAGCATTTTTCAATTCTCAATTGACGAACAATTTTGAGAGGCAAGCACGAACTTATTAAAATCTACTAAAGTGGTTTCCATTGTTCTCACAAAAAGTCTTCTTTCCTGCACGAATGTATTTGGCCAATTAGCATTCGGTTCGTGAACTTGGAAGGCGCATTATATTGTACTGTATCATTGAGAATTTTCACCAGATAAAAAATATCTGAACCTGCACCATAAATTCAAGCTGAAAGAATGCTGAAATGTAAGACGGTTCATTAAAATATAAAAAAAATATATATACAGTACAGAATAGGACGAAAATGTTTGATGAAAATATAAATTTTATCATCTCCCAACAACAACAATCAAAACAAAATTCAATCCCTTATTTCGAGTTTCTCAACTCCGATGGTTTGACCAATTGAATCATCCTCTTCATTATCCAAGATTTCCGCTTCTTTATTTTGTTGCTTCAGGACTGCTTCCTTGACCGATGCGCTGAATTGTTTGCAGTTGGGGATATTTTCAATGTCGATGCCTGAACATCAAACACGCCCAAAATTAATGACTTCAGAGTAGTTACAACAAAAACCTCAGAAATTTAGGGTGGACCATAGGATTTTCAAACTTCATGATTAAATTGCTAAATTTCGAGATACGGACTCCTGGATGCAATACAGATTATATTTCGTCAAAAATTATTTTACGCTTTTTCAACTTGACGAATTACATTTTCAAGAATGGTGACCATCGCCATTAAAATCATGAAACTTCCACACACACACACAATTTTTAAAAAGCGTTCATCAATTTTCTGAATCCCAGGATATAAGATTCTGCTTTAATCATCGCAGTCGACGACCAGTCATGGAAAAGACAGAAGTGCTGCTGAAAGCTGAAAATATTATTCAACAGACGCTTTTGATTGAAACTGCACATAAATTTCCAGAATCCAGAAAACTCGCGGAATCGAACTGTAAAGCTGAGAAATCACTTCGTGTAAATGTGCAGGGTTAGTTTAAAAAAAAGAATGAAATCGTTTCAAATGTGCAAGAATTTATCGGGCAACATACAGTACAGTACAATATATTCAGTTTTTATAACTCCCTTAATTTCAGGTCGAAAATGTTTCCGGTCCACCCATCAGCGAATTAAAAGAGGAAGATACAGCTGCAAATCTACGTTTTCATTCTTCACATGTAGCAAAGTTTTTCGATGCATTAGAATAGAAAACTCCTCAAACAAGTTCACTACCACACGACCAGGAACTTAAATTTAAAAAGTTTAACTGATGAAAGTAATAACGCTCAACAGAATAAAGTTAACGTAGATTCATGACGTGTCCCAGCGTAAAACTGTCACACGAGTTTCTGGAAAAAAGGAAAATCGGGGGAAATGCTTCGTAGCATAAAAAGCTGGTTTGGCAAGCAATAATTTAGGAGCGCATCATACCACAGTGCAGTACCAAGATACTGTCTACAGTTTTCGCTACAAAAAATAAATAAATTCCGTGGACCAGAAAAAACGTTTTAGATAGAATTTCGATGCATAGAACCTCTACGAAAAAAAATAGTCATCCCGAGAAAATCTACATGTATTTATGAACAGATTTTTTTATGAATGCAGAACAAGAATGCTAAAAATGTGGATGTACATTCCAATAAAAACCAGGTCATTTTATAGGAATTTCACGATTTAAAAGAATCTTATGAAATAAATCTAAAACTCCATGTAGGTATCAAAATCGGCACATGTGTACGTTACACGAGCCCAAGTTTCAATCAAAATTCTCTGATGAAACGAAACACGCTTAAGTTCATACCTGACTGTACAGTATGACGCGAATTATTTTTTACTTGAAAAATTTTAATACACTTGGTAAATAATTTTCTGCAATAATGCAGACCAATAAGATTTGAAAAGTTCCGAGGCAAGAAAGAAAACCTGTTTGCGTACAGTACGCCAAATGCTACGAAAAACAACTCGGGTTCTTGACGAGTGAATTCATTTCATGTCCATCATTTACGTACTCTTTTTTGTCAGTTGGAAAAAAAACACACGTCGAAAATGAACGAAATCTTTGAGAAGATCAGTGCAAAATTTCCCCATCAGCTTTTCAACACGAAGAAAAAATGAAAAATAAAATGGCGAATAATCTCACCAGGAGAAAGCTTCTGCAGAAGCCGAAGGAATGCTCGGCGCTTACGCTCGTTCAAGGAGCCTATAAACACCTTCAAATCGGCACCCGAAATTCCCTGTTTGCTCTCGTCGCCAGACGCCACCGGCGCCTTCAAGCACTTGCCGCATTTTTTCGTCATCGCGACGCACTCTTCACAAATGACCATGTAGGCCCGACGAACTGATTTTCGCTCGCAATGCACACACTTTCCGGGCACGGTCAAGGGCTTGTACTTGCTGTAGGTGATTTTCCAACGAATGACCTCTTCGCAATGGCCACAGACGTTCGTGATTTCCAGGTTGTTCAGCGCACGAACAGCATCACCGTTGTACAAATCGTTTTTAAAGGCTTTCCCGTTTTTGTACTTCTGCGGGCGAGCTCGCGACACATTCCCGCGCTGCGAACTCATTCTTCACGAGGCAAATTAAAGTCTTTCCTGGAAGGCAATCTCGGAAAACCACATTGAAAAAAATGTCCGTTGCATGCTGACGAGAATAATTACAAATCCAATGTCGAGTAATTCCTTCGTTGAAGTTGCCCTCGTCACTGTCCAAAAACGTTTGAAACGTACTTCAAACAATATACCAAAAGCTATAAAATTTTGGCCATCTGATTGAACTGCTACAGAGGTCACTAAAATTCAACTCCAGTGATTCAACGCCAACTATTCTTCCTGTATTTGAATGCAGACAGATGCGTGGGGACAACTTCAAGAAGGTATATTTTCAGATTTGGAAACGTTAACCCAGAGAGGTAATCATTGGATTTTTGAGGCTCGAAGCGAGATTTTTGTCAACTGCATCACACACTCCAACCTTTCAAGTGTATTTTAACAACGAAGCAGCAACAGAAGCACTAGACATGGAATGCGAGCGAGTACGATGATTTCCGACACGAGACATAAAATTATAGAAATATGTTTTTTTCTCGTTTCCCCTTCTAAATCAACTAGAAGCACAACGAAGAACGATCATTCAACGACAACACTCTTCATCACTGCGTAAACACGTGTACTCATCGCTAACTCAGGAAAGAAGTGAGTAAACCATAGAATATTGGAGCGAATACATACACTTCCACACTAAAATCGTGAAGAGTTTTACGTTTTTCCGTTCCCTGATCATTTCAACTAACAAAACAGATCACATAGGCTGTCTCGGGGGAGAAATCAATTATCAGATGATTTTCTCAAGAGAATAAACGTCGTTTGAATACAATGCAGTGCGCTGGCGCGTGATCCGGAATCATGTTTCCGCAGAGCCATCACTGCACTCCGCAACAAATTCCCACGGAAAATCCCACAGTTCTTCGAAATAAAAGGCGTTCAGCAATGCTTATTACTCATGCCGTTCAGGACTGCAGGATCAATGCGTTGTCTGAAAATCACATTGAAAAAATGTATCAATCACCCTGATTGGCGTAACGAGCGATTTATACGAGGGTTCCTTGAAATAATTTGCCACCACATTCAAATCTTCAACTGGTCTTTCGGGTTCACTCCCCCATGTAAGAAAAGATAAAAACGCAACGGAGCTCAGTGTAGAGTTCAATATCAAACCATTGAACATATGTACAGTACAGAATATTTTTAATAGAAAATAACTAGACAATAATATATGAAACTGCTTATGGAAAGATTGGCAGAACTTTTAAATCATATCGTATTGATCAATTTAACACAGCCGAGAAAAACTTCAAACCTTTTCAAAACAGGCTCAGAATCTTCAAAATCATTCACAGAATGCGACGGCGAAGAGTCCGAAGAAGACGTGGATACACTCGGAGAACCGGCAGAATATGGAAAATTTCCCTGAGGTGGTGATCTATCGCTGAGAGACGGTCCTTTACGGCGATGGTATTTGTGTTGCCCGTCGGTTCTCAAAATCGATTTAGCTTTATCTACTCTTTCAGTATCTGAATCGTCGGAACTGGAACTGCTGGAACTTGAACTGGAGTCAGATGATGACGAATCTGAAGCTAAACCAGTTGGTGACTCGAGATTGACTTTGTCTGCAATGGCTGCCAGTTCAGGTCGAAGTTCCTACAATGATAAAATACTGTAATAATAAACACTGTACAAAAGTGTACATCATCGCCAAATTGAACAATTAGACGATTTTCTGCATCAAATCTCAAATGATATTGCGATGAAATGGCGAATCGTCATCAAGTCACAGCATGACGTGGATAAAAGTTTTAAAAATTGTCAACGACTTTCAACTCGTGTGCTGTTAACAGGCGAATTCATAGATAAAATGCAATTCTAGAATCAAGAATTTTGTAATACTGTATACTGTACGTGTACAGGCAGAATATCTACTGTACAACGACTTTCTGAGCATAACAATTTTTTTTTTTCACAGGGATTCGCTACAATGAAATTGTCTCTTTAACGCATTCTTTCTGGTCCCCTAAATTTTTTTGCGGAGTCCACTTGCACTCAATTTTTACAGAAAAAGAAATGTTTGAATTCAAGGTAAGATTTGATCGACAAAACCTTTTTAATCTTGCAGCGCCAGCTGTTGGAATGACAGATAAGAAAATTATTATTCTAAAATGTAAAGAATTAACTTTGGTTTCTGAAAATGTACAGAATAAGTACAACCCAATCTGTATAAACGGTTGTCAACCAAAATCATCCCTCTCAGAAAAAAAAAATTTGGGAACAGTTTTAGATTTTGCAAATAATTGATCACGCCACGCACCTTCAACTTGAAGTAAAGTTTTTTCGACAGTTTTGGCCGTCCTCGAACCGTTTTATGCCATACGACCGGGAAATTCGTTACAGAACAGAAATTCTGTGTTACTGCTATAGTTTCATCCAGATTAAGAACCACGTGCCACCAACCGGCAGGAACAAACACGGTTTCGCCAGGCTTCTGAAGAATCTCCAGCTTTTCAAAAAATGCAATAATTTCAGTATCAGCGGCTGAACTCGGTAAAAATACAACACCTTACAGGAGGGAACTCCTTGGGCCATGAGGGGTCCTGAGTTTTCGGATATATGTACCGGAACCACGTAACGGCTTCATCACACTGTTTTCCTCCCACCTTGGAATCCACTTTGATCATTTCCTTTGGTGTTTTTGTCGGTAATAGACACCACCTAGAAAATGGTTCGTACAATCTCATAGTATCAGTACAGTACTTGAAAGAAGTAAGTCAGCAAGACAAACGAGCAGGTACACTGCAACTATTTTTGGCTCCTTTACATAGAGCGAAATAAAACTAATAATACCTTTTATGCCCTTTCACGAGAGCATTCCACGCGGATGTACCCAGGGGATCTATGTGGATCCCTGTTCCAGATCTTCCAGGTCCCATGACAAACCAACGGTACGGAGGTCTTCGGCTCTCCCCCGAATACTTGAAAATGTCATCGCGGAAATATTTCGGAACTTCGTAATCTTCCAAAAATTTTCTTCTCTTTTCGTGCTGAATAAATAAAAATCACTGCTATGCAAATTCGATCGCTTCAACCATTTACATCACACAGTAGAACCCCTCACCTCTCCGAAATTGCCGTCGAAAATGTACAGCGGACTGTCGTCGTCATTGTTGCGCATGTACCATGAGAAATATTTCATTTTCAGCTTAACGCTGTACCCATTGTTATCTTCCCCGCATTTGAATTTCTGATTCCGGTATTTCTTCGTGACACGCTGGAATAAAATAAATTTATTGAAAAGAGAAGGAAAAAACAATTCTTCAAAAGCGGCTCCTGACCTCGAGTGTCCACTTCTCGTTGGCTTTCCAGTTCCTTTGTACATTTTTTATAACCACAGGAATGGATGGCTTTTCAAATTTTTCAATAAATTCCTCTTCTGACAAAAAATCTGCGTCAACACGCTGAACGTTGTCTTTCACAACATCAAGGGAGAGGTCAAAGTTTTTCGCATAATTCAATTCGGCCCAAGTATTCCTTTCCGTAAGTTCTAAAAGAATAAATCGGTTAGAACGGATTACCATACTTCGTCACTAAAGACACTTTACTTAATAATAAAACCAATCACAGCTAGTTACTAACCTGGTCTTGCTTTCTTCTTGGCTTCACGAATACGTTTTTTCACACGATTGAATTTCGCGTCCTCCATCCAACCAAACGCGTTACTTTGGGACTCTCAAATCGTTCTCAGCAAATGCTTTACTCAATGTAACACTGGAGTGAGAGGGGAAAACCGTCGCGTCAGAAGAAAAATTATCCCATCATTCGAAAAATCGTTCCAAAAAGCCGAACACTTAGTACATAAGCTTCGAACACATATGCAAATAAATCAACAAAGTGTTCACAGTGGGGGATTACCTTGGCAAGAAAAATTCAGCTTTCCAGAGAGAAATCGGGTCTCTTCGTAGTTTTCGATCTTGGAATGCAAAAATGATTTTTTTTTACCGTAACAACGGAAACATAAGTTTGCTGATGCTCAAACTTCCGAAATTAGAGCTTATTGAGGAGCCAACATCTCGGCTTTTCAAAATTTCTTCATCTTTCCGATTTACAAAATAAAATAAACATTCTCCTGATCAATTTCTTCACATTGATTCGCCTGCTGATTTGAAGAGCAAGTTTCAGTTAATGGAAACACAGAGTTTCCTGAATTACATGAAACACAGGTTACACTTCAATACTTCAACCTTTAAGTTGTCAAAAGTGATTCATGCATAAGCTTTCTCGCACTTCTTCGCGATTCAACCGCTTTCTTGAGTTCTTTCTTTCATTTTTTTTTTTAGATTTCGGACAATTTTTTGAAGAAAAAATAGCTCCGTACAGTATTCCGTAGAACCCCAGCAAAAATCTGAAGCACTAACACCACCTGTACTCCTAATGGAAGGGTCCGAAAATAAATGAACTTTCACGTCGTCCACATGAGAAATTTTTTCTCAAACGTCCGAAAACCGATAACTTCTGCACATTTCCGCTAACGTTCCTACGCGAGACCGAACACCGCACGCTTCCATGATTGTATGGAGCTACAGCTAGTTCCTAAGCGCTGAAGAGTTTCCGACTGTAGCCGCTCCAGATCTACCACGCCGTCTCTCAATGTTCCTTGATTCTCGTGAACACAAATGCTTACTGTTAATTTGAGTTGCTTACTGAAACTGATTCGGAGGAGAGACACATATGACTGTGGTCACGATTCTCACGAGCTTTGCTCCCTCTTTGGAGTTCACTGAGGCTTGACCACAAGAGTTGCTCTTCCCTTAATTACTTCACAGTATCCAGTACCATAATCTGTTCGACTCTGGAAAACGTCCGGATAGCGACAACGCTGCAGAAAGAAATTCCGTCGTATTTTCAAGCCGATTACAATAGCGATGGAAATGGTTTGGTGCACTTCGGAGAATTCTTGAACATTTTTCAGCAATTGGAAACCTCGAAATTAAAAAATATTACATTGAGTATCAGATCTTGGAAGTACAGCAGGCGAAATGAATACTGTACAGTATATGATTACATTTTTGTATTGTTTGAGTATGTTTCCATTTTTGCTTTGATTGCTCCCTGAGTTATGAGTTTGAGTGCAAAATAATCATATACTCTACTCTATAGTTTTGTTTGTTTATGTCTGCCCCACATTGATTTCCACAAGATCAGTTTCTTTCTCGGGTGTTTTCGAGCCCCGAAATTTCCTCTCCGCATTTTTATTTTCTAGAAATCTTCAATGGCAGTAAAGTACTGTATTGTACATTAAGTGACTATAGCTAAAACCTGGGATTATCTCCACGTCAGACCTTCATAATGGAACCATGTTAGCCTATCCCATCGGATACTCAACCGAACTGGATAGGCTGTAATATACTTCGCGTGACCTGTGACCGAGAAACTGGCAAGAAAGTTGGAGCGACGTGGTGAAGTGTTTGTCCGGAGTGCGATATACAGTTTTGCCGTGAGATATTTGTCGAAACACTAATGCCTAGAAAGCCCTTTAATTTCAGACTTCGTAATGACTCTAAGGCCGAATCACTTATTTTCCGATTCCATCCTGAAACATGTATTGCCTTGTGCTTCTTGCCACGAACGAAAAGATGTAAGTAACATCTTTGTTGCAATCTTATCATGTCACTTTTTGCATGTTCTTCTTATCGAACAGCATGGAGAAGGCCTCGGACTTCGAAGAGCTGATCCTGTTCGCCTACGTGAGATATTTGAAAAGGTGAAATTAATCCATGAATTCCAGGGTGTTTCCTCGTCCGAAAAAAGTTTTATTTTGGTAGTATGCGACTGTGAATGAAGATGGAGAACTTTACATGAAAGCTGATGTATTCGTCCGAGATTATCTTGGATTACACAAGGATGAAGATTACAATCCGAATGCCGTAAAGCTTATCGCCGGGGTGGTTGATACCAGCAAAGATGGACTTGTTTCGTTCATGGAGTTCCAAGCTTTCGAAGCTCTTCTGTGCTCCCCCGACGCTTTATACCGCACGGCATTTCAAATGTTCGACACGCATGGTAACGGAGTGGTTTCATTTCAAGAGTTTTCGGACGTCATCAAGAAAACGGAGTTATATCAAAAAGTTCCGTTTAACCTTGATTCTGACCTTGTCAAGCTTTACTTCGGTAAAGAGAAGAACAAGTTGGTGTCTTTTGCCGAGTTCTCCCAGTTCTTGCACGTGAGTGATGTTTATTATCACTATCTCAATGGTTCAAATTATTGAGAGCTGGTGCGTCCAGAGAAAGTGTAGCTTTGATTATGGAGCATGGTGGTTGAGGTTCAGCATTCCTAATTTCTCTTATAAATTTTCAGGACTACCATGAAGAGCATGCTGTGCAAGCGTTCAAGCGCTCTGACAAGAAAGAAGTGGGATTTATATCAGCCTTGGATTTCTACAATATCATGGTTTCTGTGAAAAGTCATTTACTGACACCATGCGTGAAAGATAATCTGGTGGCGGTCGCCGGTGGTCAGCAAGTTTCTTTCCCGTTCTTCGTTGCCTTCAATTCCCTGTTGGGAAATATGGAGTTGGCCAAGCGAGTCTTCTTGAATGCGACGGGAAATGATAAAACGGCTGATGTATCCAGGGGTAATTATGTTTGCTATGCTTAGAATTTATTTATTTTTGTTATGGTTTGTATTGGTTCAGAACTTGAAAAGTCTTCTCAGTACACTAAGCAGTTCTATGGTGGTTCAGCGGAAAAGCAATTACTTGGAATTTTTACCTGTTTGAGCAGTCGTCGGAACATTCGAAAACTAACTACGCTGAATTCCTATCTTCTCATCTGGAGAATGCCTTTGACGTTCTGTTGTAATCAGAATTCAGCGAAGAATTTTGAATTAGTCTCCGGCCAGAAAATTCAAAAAATTGAGTTTGAGTCTTGAAACCTGAGTATTGAGTTACCCGTCACCGTACTCGGTACGTTACGCTGAGACGGATATTTCTACTTGACGCAATTTCTAATCCTGGTTCTTTTTTGCAGAGGATTTTATTAGATCTGCCCAAATGATGTCTCAAATCACTCCCCTCGAAATTGATATCTTATTCAAGCTGGTGCAACTGACGCAGCAAGACACGTGAGTATTGATTCTGATTATTGGTACAGTACAGTATTTCTGGTAGGAAAAAACAAGTTGAGCAAGATTATAGGCGTAAAATTCAAAGTAATTATGCAAAAAGCTCGTGAACTTCCAACGTGTTCGCTCCGTCGATTTTTTTTTTTTTTTTTTTTTCATTCTAAAATAACCAGTCCAGCTCATGAATTTCTTCTTTTTTTTCTTTGCACTGCTACTGGTAAATTTCAAACCTGGTGAGACGTCGTTTTCTGTTTCTCTCGGGTGGGTAGGAAGCCCGATGTGTGGTTTCCTTTTTTGCGTCATACCAGAGATGGGTAATCGTCTTCTTTATTTTTATTTTCATTATTGAACATTCGAATTATGATCTATTCTCGTTTGTAATAATGAGATAATTCTCTTTGTGTGTTTGCATGTTTGAAACGTATGTACATAACCATTTTCGGTGTGCGCTTTTACGTGCTGAAATCTGGACCTATGGAAACGAATCCTATGCATCCGATATAACCTTTGAGATTTCCTTGTATCTTGCTATACAATTTTTGTATTTCGCTCTGTTCAGTCGAATGCAGTTTTCGGATCTGGAATCCATGACTCCTGAGCAATACATGAAGAAGATAACTAGTTTTACTTTGACGGAAGTCAAAGCTGTTTCCGTGAGTTGATGTGTTAATTTTTTATTTAGTTTTCACTTAAAATGCGTAGTCATCCTTTTACTTAGAGTCCGGAAGAGCGCGGAGTAATGATTGAAGTTTTGGAGAGCGCTTACCGATTTACGCTGGGAGCGATTGCCGGCTGTAGGTGTCTTTCTTTTTTCCTATTTGATTGCAGAAGAGAATTATTTTTTACCATAGAAATATTTTTCCATTCGCTCCACCATTTTTTAGCCGTCGGAGCTACAGCTGTGTACCCCATTGATCTGGTGAAGACTCGATTGCAGAACCAACGGTCTGTTTCATTCATAGGAGAACTTATGTACAAAAATTCATGGGATTGTTTGAAGAAAGTTATTCGACATGAAGGATTTGTTGGCTTGTACCGGGGCTTGGTGCCACAGCTCGTGGGAGTTGCCCCGGAGAAAGCCATCAAACTCACGGCAAGTTTTTCGCAATTCCTCATCGGATAACGAGGGAGAAATCTGAACATTTTTCCTCTTAAGTTCAACAGTGCGGTTTTTTTTTCTCAAATAGATGAACGATTTCGTGAGGGATAAGTTCACGGATCATAAGACGAAAAAGATAGCTTTGTCTGCAGAAATGTTTGCTGGTGGTTGTGTGAGTTCAGACGTTTTCGTATACGTATTTCAATACAGTTTCTGTGCATGTCCGTGAAACGACGATTGATTTTTGTTTCGTCGACTTTTTCTGCCGTGGTTAGGCTGGTGGTTCTCAAGTTGTTTTTACGAATCCGCTGGAAATCGTCAAGATCAGGCTGCAAGTGGCTGGAGAACTTGCATCTACGTCCCAAATTTCGGCCGTCCAAGTTTTGAAAGAACTCGGTTTCTTTGGTTTATATAAGGTTGTCAATATTTCGAATGAATCTTTCGGAAAGCTCTGAATCGAAATCTCATCTCTTCATTTTTACGCCAGGGTGCCAGAGCTTGTTTTCTTCGGGATATACCCTTCTCGGCTATTTATTTCCCTGTTTACGCTCACTCTAAAAAGAAACTGTCTGATGAGAATGGTTACAACAGCCCTTGGACTTTGCTGGTTGCAGGTAAGTCATCGTGTTTGACAACTGTAGTGCATATTGAAATGAGCTCTCAACACTTCAAACTTTGATTGAAAGATATCTTCTATTTTCCTGTCGGGTTATAAACCAGGCTTTTTAAAGCTGATCTTCAAAATAATTGCTGCTTGTTATTAACGTCAGCTCTCGTTTTTGTTCACCGTTTAGGTGCGATCGGCGGTGTACCAGCTGCGTCTCTCACCACTCCGGCGGATGTCATCAAGACTCGTCTGCAGGTTGATCTCACTCCCTGTCCTTTTTTGTTTTGCTTTTTTCAGGCGCAACAGGAAATTTGAAAATTCTTGCAGGTGGCTGCCAGAGCAGGGCAAACGACGTACAGTGGTGTTTTCGACGCCGCTAAGAAAATCTGGAAGGAGGAAGGGTTTGGTGCCTTTTGGAAAGGAGCTCCTGGTAAGCGTTTTGGACGGGTAAAATCTTGGATGAATGCTTGGATTCGGATTGGTTTTTTTTTAATCTTCGTTTTCAACAAAAATTGTTTTTCGACAACGGGAGGACGGAAGCTGTTCTGTGGTGGAATGTGATTCACAACATGGCGATTCGAGTAAAATTCAGCGTCTGGGCTTATATTGTTTTCGTAGTTTCTGCAAATTGAGCGTTTGACTTCAAGTTCACCCCTTTTCTGCTCAAGAAATGTAAACCCACGACCCACCATGCAATCTACGGGAAAAGAAATTCAATAGGTTGAACATATGTGTCTTATGCGAATCACGATCGGAACATATAAATGCTATGTGTGATACGTGCGTAGCTCACGTTCCTTCTAGAATTCCGTATCAACAGGAATTTTCACTTCATTGCGTAATGAGGCGTGTATTCTGTCATGATTCCTACCTTTTTAGTCACTTTTACTGAGATGAACAACAATTTTATGATCGATAGATTTTTCACCTAATGGGCCACCCACTTGAGATTATAAATTTTTTTTTTTTTTTTCAGCACGAGTCTTGAGATCTTCACCTCAATTTGGCGTGACGCTGTTGACTTACGAGGTTCTCCAGAGAGCTTTCTACGTCGATTTCGGTGGCATGTGAGTTTCTTTAAAATTCCTATATTCAATCTTCATGTGGTGTGGCGTTCCGAAAATTGCAGTGTGCTTCAGAGAAGTGAGCGTACTGTATTTGTTATCTAAAATATTTTTTTTTAATGTAGAATGGCATCAAAATTGCTTTTATTCGAATAAAAGCAAGAGAAGAAGCTAATATCACTGTACTGTAAATAATTACCAATTCCCCCTTTTGAAGTGATTTTTGAACGCCCTTGACTTATGATGAATAGGAACTGCATCCCGCATGGGATTAATGACGAAAGTCGTGCTTGTGCGTTCTTTTTAATTTTTATTTGCTGCATGTGTCTTTTCGCGCATAATTTGTACTTTCCGGACTGAATTCATCAATGAAGGAAAATTGATTTCATGTTATGCAACCTTCGATAGTGATCTCTGTGTTTTCTGTAATTTTGGAGACAGGGTGTGCCTGAACGCTCGTTTTCTTCTCGTTTCAGGCGACCGGAAGGTTCTGAGCTAAGCTTATCTCTACCAGAACACTCTACCCAAGCGCGAGCAACGAATCCGGACCACATCGGAGGCTTCAAAGCTGCTATCCCGATACTTTCCGGGATAGAATCCAAATTTGGCCTTGTGTTGCCCAAGTTCAGCCATAGAACGGCCGACCATCCTAACTGAGCAGGTTTTTTGAAGAGATTCCAAGCGAGCCCTGTCCTTTTCCAACGCGCTGTTGCAATGAAAAAAGAAAATTGAATCTCCGCCGAAGAGTGAGTTTGATATCCGGTTGATGAACGCATTTAACGATGAGGCTCGTTTGGTTTCACTCTCTGTCTGACTCGAGGAATGTGTAGGATGTTATTTTTAGTTATTGTTCCCCTTTATCCGAGGAATCGAGAGTCTCGGTAATTTTTTGTAGTTGCGTTTAGGAGTTCTGAAGGCGGCTGAAGAGAGAAAACGAAAAGGCGCATGGGATTAGCTGTGATCTGAAGCAAGTCTGATGTCTCACTTTGCCTAGGATCCATGAGTTGTATCCCAGTGTTCGTTGTTACCACGTTTTTTCGATAGATTCGGGACACTTGAATTGAGAAGTCGAATTTAAAATTCGGGTTCGCTGTGTATGCTCATGAATCCTGAAGAATTCTGCATGAACAGTTCTACTAGATAAATTTTTTTTATTCTTTCATGTATTCAAGATAAAATTTCGCTGTCTAAAGAATTATGGAACGCTGATTCAATAACGAGAATCCAAAATTTTTAAAATGGACTAGCTTTATGCGTATGAAGCTTGATGATTGCGCATAGTTAATGCTGCATCGTAGATTACGTTAAATTTCATCCGAAATTATGAAATTTATTTTTGACAAATGCAAGTTCGTGTGGCTTTCAGTGCTATCTCTTCAATTTGAAAGGAAGTCCGCAATATGCTACAAATCGCAATATGTTTCTAGTAGGGTTTCCTACGTGAGTTCAGGTAGTTCTCTCACTAACTTGACTCACTTCGCACATTATCAGTTCGGCTTCCTGTGGGGGAAAGTGCAATTCAGCATTTTGTGTCCCAGTGATCTTATGGCAATCAGGTCCCTCTGATGAAAGTTAACCATGCACCGCAGTTCGTGCTTTCAATGAGGCTGGTGACGCGTCCAGCTTTGTTTTGTTATTGAAATGGATTGGAGTGCAACTTGCCCGGCGTTGTGAAGACAGAGACATCGAAAGAATTCGAATTGTTCGCAAAGAACTTGTTTGCTGCTCTAGGAGTGTGGGTTGCCTCCTAGTACAGTACTCTGTTAGTCAAGGTGATGTTGTATACCCTGAGTGAATTTGATTTTTGCGTGTATCATCAGGCAACCGAAAACGATGAAGCTCTGAATAAAACAGATCTGCCTCAATAAATTCTGCCTGAAATTTTTTTGTGCTGCGCTTCTTGAGGCTCCCTGCTGATGTACGTCTGGGATTCCAAAAGGTTACAGAATGAGAACAACTTTTTTCTTGCATTGTTTCAAGGAGTACAGTGGGTCCACAAGATATGGGTAGAATTACTTCTGTGAATGCATATGTTGGAACATCTGCGTGTGAGATCATGTTTTCCTTTAGTCTTCGAGGAGAACCGTTTTCGTCACTTCTCCCATTTGGCAAGTACAGCAATACAGTATAGTAAGTTGTGATAATTAGCATGTCAGAGGGCCCTATAATGTAATGGCAGTTACGGTGCCCTTATATAACCTCTACCATGATTTATTTTTGAGTACTGTATGTATTTTTTCCCGCAAAATTTAGATTAAACTTCATGTTCTTAACCAACTTTCGGAACTTCCTGGGTCTGCAAAAATCATGAAAAGGTATTGTACAACACATGGACCTCCAGCAGTTGACATCGTGCGGTGCACGTGTCATTTATCTTTCTCTCAAATGATTGAAATTTTGGTCAAGGGTGATGCAGTGCCTCTGATTGAAGAATAGATTCGAGCTCTAGCAAATTAAAAAATCTAATTAAGATACTGATTTATGCCAAGATTAAATCACTCTCGGAAGATAAAGCACCCAGATCAGGTGAACATAAACATGGGTCCGGTATATTCGCTAATCCTTATTTATTGGGAGGAAGTGAGGATACAGTTGAAGATGAGGCGTGCAAATCTAATGATTTTACTGTACTATGTACGAATTATGTGGAGTAATTAATGCATGGGTCTGGGGACATGAATAAGAATTCCTTTGAAAAATAATTCGCCTGCAAGCTATGTAGTGTTGCATAATACTGTAATGTATACTGTACAGTACTTGACAGTTGATCTGAATAATTTCCCGAAGTGTGGCATCATGCTCATGACTACCGTAAAAGCGAAGGAACTACTGTAATTGCGTGTATGACCCAGACACTATATGCTACGGACGAAAGTTGTGATGTTGGCCCACCAGGAAACCCCCTCGCGAGCGTTTCTTGAACGAACATTGCGCTGACCTCTACCTAAGGCTATGTAGTTATCGAGAACACGTTTGTAAGTGGTGTAATGGGAAACGTGCAAATCTGTCTCTGAAAGGGAAAGGGTTTTTTTTACCTTGACGGTCGTGCGAAGATTTCTCAATAATTCATGAGTCAGAAAGTGTCAAACTTCTCGTGATGCTCGTTTGAACAATAACAAAAGCGTTTGAAGGTGGCGGTTTCCCCTTTTCGTGATCGACCCCGCCGAAGTGAACAGAGTTGCGTCGATAGTGCAGTACAGTTTTCGCAAATTAACGATAAAACTTGGGGTTACATTTTCGCTGTGGAGCATCTGATGGCGTATCCTGAACGATGGTTGCATTATGTAATGGTATACGTGTATGAGTTGTAATGCGAAGCGTCGTCTGATAACCTTCATAAGAATCATGCCGGGTTGAGTGATGCTTCAAAATCCTCACAATATAGAGGGCGAAGACTTGATTTCACTAAATCCTTTATCGTAACTTCTGTTCTTTGTTTAGAAACCATCACAATTGATTGTACCGTGCTGAACTGTGCCGACCTTTATTCCCCGGTTGGGCTAATTGTTGTGTAAGGAAAACTCATTTTTTCGTCGCTTTCGACGATCAAGAGTTTCTATTTTGGCTATGCCGGGGTTGACTCCGTCGGGTGAGAAGTTTCTTAGACGAGTTTTCTCAAACGGTATTATATTCAGTGTATTTTCCAGCTGCTCATGAGAAATCGCTGAAATCGGGAGAAAGCGGCATCCGCGAAGTATGGGCTTCAAATCTTCGAGAAGAGATGCAGAATGTCCGCGAAATAGTGAAGGAGTATCACTTCGTTGCCATGGTGAGTATTGCTCGCCTGTTTTTCATGGTGGACCTAAGTTTGTGTCCTCGTCTTGCCTTGATAGAGTCGATGATTCCATACGGTTGTCATTCTACAGGATACGGAGTTTCCCGGTGTCGTTGCTAATCCGATTGGAAACTTCAGGAGCAGCTTCGATTATCAGTACCAACTATTGCGATGCAACGTTGATTTGTTGCGGATTATTCAATTGGGCCTTACGTTTTACGATGGAGAAGGACGTCTGGCCAAAGATTGCGCCACCTTTCAGTTCAATTTTAAGTTCAGCCTCACGTAAGTGACCTTGATTAAACAGTCTTCATAGTGGGAAGAATTGAATTGAAATCCATCTGGCTTCGTTGTGCCCCGAATTTAACCTAATCCTGGAAGCTTTTTTCTAGTGAAGACATGTATGCGCAAGACAGCATCGACCTTCTTCAAAACTCGGGTATTCAGTTCAAGCGACACGAAGAGGATGGAATTGAACCCGAGGAATTTGCTTCGTTATTGATGACTTCCGGCGTTGTGTTACTCGATAATATTGTGTGGCTTTCATTCCATGCCGGCTACGATTTTGGGTACTTACTCAAATTATTGACTAGTGCGCCCTTGCCCAGCGAGGAGATCGAGTTTTTCGAGACTCTGCGGCTTTTTTTCCCCAACATCTATGATGTGAAGGTACGTTTCAGTGGACGATGTACATGGGGACAATGTTTTCTTATCAACTTTTCATTTTTAGTATCTCATGAAGTCAGTTAAAAAGCTGAAGGGTGGTTTGCAAGAAGTCGCCGAGCAGCTGGAACTTGAACGTATTGGACCACAGCATCAAGCTGGATCTGATTCCCTTCTTACTGGCGCGGCATTTTTCAAAATGAAAGAGGTGAGATTCTTCAATTCAATATTAATGGTATTGATTAATTTTGGAAAAGCAGTCCCGAATTCATTGAATCATTTTTGCAGGAGAGACGATGTGCATGGTAAGTGAGATCCCTTTAGTTCGAACCCCGAGCTCGACGCTATGGAGCATCCAATTTTTTTGAATTTTCTTGCCCTCGTGGAAGATAGGATTGCTCCATGATGACATTATGAGAAACACTTTGTCCAATAATGTGTCAAATTTTTTATGTCTTAGATGTTTTTCGAAGACCACGTCGACAACACTAAGTATTGCGGGCACCTGTACGGCTTGGGCTCGACAGGCCCGAACACACAGACGTCAGGCGGATCAAGTAATGCGCAAGAAGTCGGAGACTCGGCCTTTCCCGTGACTGCTATCGGGTCGACGAATCCGTCAGTGTCCATGTCCACGTCGCTGTCCTCGTTCTCCGGCGTTTTGGCGACCACTAGCGCTACTACTATCTCGCCGGGATCCGTGGTGCGCCCTGCCTCTGTCGGTCCTTGACATGCCTTTTCATTGTAGGCTTTATATTTTAGGAAAAGATGATTTCTTCCCTGAATCGCATTTGTTCCGTTCCTCGTTACTACGCCTTTTTAATCTGTATGGATGGGTCGCCTCTTGTTTTTGAAGGTTGCAGCCGTGCGATATTTTCCTGATTCATTCCCATTCGATTGATCAGTCCCCTTTTTTCTGCCCTGAGGAAAGCATGATCCCTGAAATTTCTGAAAGAATTTGTCTTCCAGGTGCTTGAAATCTGCCATTGAATGTTGCTGGGTCGCACTTCTGAAGTTAAAGTTGCAAGAAGCAATGACTAATCCTAGCTCTCTGGTGGTTTCTTCAGATTACTGTACCTTTTCTAACGCGTCATAAGATTGAGGATCTTTTGATTATCGATGGCTGTAAGAGGAGTGGTTCGTTTGAGTGCGAAATCCATGTGCATACCCCGTATTGTTTGAATTCGTAAGCTTTTCCCTCGAACGATCGTTGTGCTTTATTTTCTTCTTGAGTATGTGTGGATCCTGGCGAATAAGCCTGAACTTTTTTTAAGTATCTTGAACGATTTGGAAATCAGGGGATTCCGGTCACGAGTAATTGCTGGCATTTTCTTCACGGTTCGATTTCTCGAAAACTGAGGTGGCCCGGTGTGAGGTGCTTTGCTGCGTACTTCATCAATGTAAAACTAGCGCTGAGTCGTCGGTTGTGTGCGGGAAAAAGGAAGATAGGAAGAAATTTAGGGTCATGTGAATGAAGAAGTGCCTGTGGAGAGAATTTTCAGAGCTTTAGCCTATTATTGTGCTTGGCGGTTTACTTTTGGTCACTCGTGTATATCTGCTCAAGGCAATCGTGTGAAGAGATCATGGTAATACGCAGCGCGATGAAGATAACGGGAAGGAGAGTTTATTACGTTAAAAAAGGAATGAATCGTCACCTCGGCTTCCATTGCAATACTCTGTGTTCTGATTGTTCTAAGTCTGAGTTTTTGTTCTGTGTTTTTGCCCGAGCCTCTTCATGTTGTATCCGGACTGCGGTGAGATTCCATCGGATCATTTTTTTTTTTTTTTGGAGAAAGCTGAAGAGAGAACCGTATGTGTTTTCCCCCCCAAGTCATTTGCCTTGACTTCAGTTCGTCCAATGCTACCACAGTGCCATCGAAAAGCTGTAAGAACGCTTAGCAATCTTTTCATCGTGATTTATTGAAGAGGAAACGTATGCACCTAAAAACAAAATGAAGTCCATTTTACGACTTTGAAAGATATACTGTACCTGTACCGCATTTTGAATTTTTGCAGTTAAAATCGTGCTTCATGTCATCTTTCATGCTGAAAATTTTTACATTGTGTTAAAGCGATAAAGGAATAATCTTCTGAATGGATGATTATTTTTGGACCACTACTTGAAATGGCATGCATTGGCGTAATTCTCAAATAAACCCCCCGACTGATAACTCGAGAGTGCATTTTAGTTGGAAAAAAAAGGTGCATTGATTTTTATTGTACTGTATCATGTTCAGAAAAGTATCGATTCGAATTGTTTTTATTTAAAGGTTACCAGATTATGGTACTGTATGCAACAGAACCACTTGTGGTGGCAGTTCGTGACGAATTGAAACTTGAAGGAATTTTATTGAGTGTCGCCTTCATTCGGCTTATCCTGTTCCCCTCCTTTTGGGTTATGTTTAGGTGCGAACATATGTTAAATTGAGGTTCCGTGGTCTGGTTCGCGATAATAATGGCAACACAGGACCGGGTTGCCAAGACATGGGGCATCACGGAAAAGGATCGAGACTTGATCGAAAGACGCGCCGCGACTCGGATGCGATTGCGGAAAGAGTACCAGCGGCAGTTGTATAGTCCTTACAATCACGGCATCGGCGAAGGCGGTTACGTCGTAAGTATTCATATCTTAAACCTTGAAGACGCCTTTTATTTTTGATATTTTACTTCTTTAATTCTTCTAATTGAAAAAAAATCGTCTACATATTACTTCTTAAGAAGTAATATGCAGACGATGAGTGCAAAGAATTCGAATACAATTTGACTCGAATTCTAGGGACCGGAAAAAAAATCGTTGTAGAGAACCCCTATGGATCTATAAAATGAAATTTGTTTTACCGAGAAAGTCGTTGTAGACAAGATATTTGTACGGAGTTCATCTGTACACTGTCAACTCTTGATTTAGTGCCACGAAGTTCCCTGGAACGGATAGATCTCCCTCCAAGGTTTTCTTAAGGGAAACCCAAATTTAGTGCTAACTCAGATATTGTACTGTAATGCCAAAAAATGTGTGTTTTAAATACGGGCTAAAACAGAAAATAAGGTGCTTGAATAGGGATACCATTGGGTTACTACTGAGAATGACCTGTCCCGACTCACTTGAAAACTCCGGTTGATTTTGAACGTTCTATTTTTTAATTCAGGATCAAATATTTTTTTGCTGCATGTCACCTTCCTTCATCAAAAATTTAAAATTTTAAAAATGAAAACTGAGCTCTTCTGGAAATATTGTCAATTTCTGCATTATGGTACTTGATTTAAAACTCTAAGTCAAAAAATTCTAGAAACAGTTGAGCACTTCTAATCGGCACAATTTGTGTAAGAACTTAATTTCTGATTTAGTAAATATATTTGAATACTGTAGTTGAAAAACAGTAAGTTAATGGTTGAAATTATTTATTGTGGCTTTCTCTTGCATAAAACGGACTCAATGACCTAACAAATTCTATGAACGAGCTTATTTTGTCTACAGTAGAGACCCTGAACTGAGCCTTCCTCACATAGAAAACCACAATTGTATGCCACCTTTGTTAGGTTGAAAAAAATGGGCCAGGACAGATGATGGCATTAGGATGAGGTTTGACTGTACAGTACAACTGTATTTCACTTCCTCAGTAAAATTGAACTATGGTACAATACTTCTATACAAATAGTTCATGAACTATTTTTCATGTGCCATAGCGAGCCTATTGTTACACTTGACTAACCTGACCTGGCATATGACTCGAGTAGTGTTACTCTGACTAGCGTCATGGAGCACCTAATAAGCATCACGTTACACATGACTAACTTACTTCTTTTATTTGAAGCAAACCTGACGCAATACTTGCATTCTGAGGAGCTTGATCTTATGCGGAACTAAACGACCTGAAGCTCAACTTGATTAATTTACACGTATGACGTAATTAACCTAAGCTCGATGCGAACTGCAGTAACTCAATCTTGAATAACAAAGCTAACCTAATCTTCAGCTATCCTAGTTAAACCTTTCCTGAATAAGTTTGACATCTGATGTATGGTTTGATTTATTGACGTATGAATATAGGACTGTACGGGAAGCTCACAACTAAGAAACATTTTTCTTTTCTTTTTTTTACCGGAAAAATACGATACTCTTTTTTATTTGAAACTCGGCTTATGTCGTCACAGTGATATCAATCTTCCCGACATGATAAGGTTCTGAAACGTTTGCTCATTGTATTCCCGCAGTTTGATCCGATGATCCAGCGCTTTTTGTCAATGAAAGCCACTCTGTACGATCATTTTAAGCCTACTCCTCGCACGGCGTTCATTGGTCTCGCCACTGTTATCGTCCCTATTTTCGGAAGCGTTTATTTCTACCGCAATCGCCGAGTAAGTCTTGATTCCCAGTTTGATTGAATAATTTGCGCGGTAATTGTTTACTGTGTTTCATTTACTTATTTATTTTCTAGTTGGCCAAGGCGAAGGAGTTGAGCGAAGGTCGCGTGGCCTACGCGGATCGTTTGTGGAAGCTCATTTAACCGATGCGATCGAGTTTTTGAGTCCTGGTGTCCTTCAGCGGTCGTCTAGTGTAAATTCGCAGTGTGCAATAAACTGGTCGCCCTTGTTCGTTAGCTGAATATTGGCGCTTTCTTTTTTTAAAGTCGGTGTACAGTATTTCGTATTTCTTGATAATCGCTAATTTCAGCATTCGATAAAACCGAGCGCGTACGTCTTTGTTGTCGATAAATTGAATCCGAATGGGAAGCGATTCCTGTGCAGTGCCATACTGGTGAACTCCCTCTCCCTACGACGAAATTCAAGGGAATGGAAAGAAAATTCGTTGTAGAGAAATCGATAGCATGGGGAGAATGAATTTCGTGCTACAGAGAAAACCGTTTTAGAGAGGGTCCACGTGTATACGTTTTTATTTCACCCGATGACTTAATGTCAAGATATTCGATATTAAAAATGCAAATCGAAGAGACTTGATTAGTGGCATGTGAACCGTGGCTGACTGCTCTGAACTCTTCTTGTTATGTCGGTAGAACTTCTACCCTGCGACTCTGATGGAAGAAAAAGTGTACTATTTCAATTTTCCATCAATGAGTCTTCTAAAAAAAGAGTGCGATGTGCATTTTCCAAGACCCCCTGGTTGGTCTTCCGGCCAACGAGAAAACGACCGAGTAAAATCTGCTCGAAAATGAAACTTCAGATCTTCGAAATTTATCTCGTGATATCAACTACCATGGTTTCATTGTTTATGCAAAGGGTTTTGTGCCAGTAATTGAAAATTAAGCATGGTTGGCTGCGAACGCTTTCGTTGAAAACGGATGTTAGAAAATCTCTATTTAGGACATCGAGGAACCTCTCCTGAAATTCTGGAACAAAAGGATCTTTACTGAGTTATTCTTGCCGCTGCAAAATTGTTCAAGATCAGAAGATCGCTGGACTGTCTCAAATACAAAGTTATCATCTTCAGATCTTCTCGGGAGTTTTTTTTTAAATGAAGTTTAGTTGCTGGAAAGAAACTGGCAGATTTTATTCGCATTTGCCATTCATGATTGAACGCGGTACTCCCGAGAAGGCCTTAATATAACCTGGGTAACAAGTGAAGTGTACTATGGTTTGGTGATGTCTGACACAGCAAGTTACAGTCGGACAGTAGAAGAAATTACTGCGGTATGTGAGCTTCTGAAATTTTTCGTTTCCGCGGGAAGAAATCGAAGAATCTCTTCTTGAAAGCTCTCGTGAAGAAATTGATGAGGCAAAGGAAGACGAACTCGATATTAAAACGTTGAAGTGTTTGTGTGTTACTGACTCTAGTTCTGCTTGTAGACGAAGCCCGTTTGTTACACATCCATTCGATTATTCTCCTGTTCGAGCCGAAATGACTGATTCGTCGAATAAAGAAGTGATTCTGAGTGCGCGTCCGGGTGTCAATGGCACTCTAACGGAGAAAAACTTCGCTGTGCGCGAGTGCGATTACCCCAGTGACCTAAAAAGCGGGCAGGTATTGATTCGAAATCTGTATTTGACCGTGGATCCCGCGCAACGATGCCAGATGAACGAAGAGACAGGGGTTCATTACCTTCTTCCGAATCAGGTTGGATCCCGTGTCAACGGCCTCGGTGGGGTCGGAGAGGTGGTGAAATGCGGTCCGAGCGATCAGCCCAGGTGCGAATAGTGGTTTTCATAAAATGTGCCGTGTATAAATCATTTACTGCCAACTCATGTGGTGGCACAAACAATTCTTCTATTAAAAAGTGAGCTGAAATTACGGACGTTTTTCCACTTTTTGTTCCATTTTTGCTCTTAAACATCTTTGATCAATATTAAAAGTTTTGAACAAGCACTATTCTGTTCGTAATGTTTCCTTACATTGGCGGAAATTTAATTGAACTGCCATCAGCAGTCTCGGATGAGTAGATCCCCGTGTGATTTTGAACATGCTTTTCAAAACTGCTTGTGGGTTAACATCATTCAATTTTGACCAAGTTGAACTAAATTCATATCAGCAATAAAGGAATATTGAACGAATTCTGCATCAATCCAGTGTTTAACAGCATGTACTTTTATAATTTCGTACATTGATTCCCGTCCAGCCGCCCCAAGATTTATAATTATTGAACAAGGAATTTATTTTTGTACGCCAAAAATACGCAATTAACTGCTGATACCTGCATTACTAACAGTGCAATAATATTAGAGTATTATTATTCTTGGACCATCATTTTGGAGAATATCCCTATCATATTATACGATTAGTCCACAGCCTCAATGACCAGAACAAAGCCAAGGTTGTTGAATAAATTTTTTTTACATTACAATGAGACCGGAGATGTGGGCGTAATTTGTACTTGGATCTTGTCCCTGCAACCGAACTTCTGCATGCAAGATCACAATTTCCCATAGACTTCCATGGTCACTTATTTAATTAGTTCTCTTAATCTCTAGAAAGTCTAGATCATCAAAAATTAGGAATGAATCTCCAAAGAATAAATTAATTTTTATTTTTCCCCATTTTAAAGGTACAGAATATAAATGTGCAGAAGAATATCACGCAGAATCTGCTCTTGGTGTCAAAAGGACCCCAAAAAAGCAGAGAAAAAGTACAATTCTCGCTATACTTCGCATTGCACAGATGATGGAGAATACTCCAAAAAAGAAGCACAAAATTAAAGTGTTTTTGATTATAAATGTGAGTAAATTTTTAATTAAAATATCTTCTTAATTTTTGTAAATATAAATACAATAGCTGAATTAGTTCAAGAGGTATTCACATTTTTAAAAATTACATTTTAAAATTTTTTCTAGAAATGTTGGAAAAGTGCTCAGAGGTCAGGACATTGCCCAGATGTTGGGGCAGATATTTTAAATTTTCAAGTGTCCCTAAGTAAAATTGTCTATATGTTGGGGTGACAGTATTTGTAAGTCTCACTGTACATAATTTCAGAACTTTTAGTAAGGAAAAACTAAAATTTTTCAATGGGAAGTTGAATTTATGCTGCTAGAATTGTCATGATCTTTGAACATTTGAAAAAAAATCTTATCTCCGTAAAAGTCCCCCAAAAACTAGTCAAATGCCACATCCACCAGTGAGGCTTGAATGATGAGGCAATTTACTCTCCCTATATGACTTTTCAGTGACGATTTGGCGACAGGAGACTCTCGTTCTCCCATCAAGAGTCCACCGAAATTCAAACCGGGAGACTTCGTGATGAATTCGGAACGTCTGCATTGGCCATGGGCAGAATATTTTTGCTTAGCCGAAGAAGAATTAGCCCTGATAGATCCCGAAATTCAGGATCTGCCGCATGGCTTGAAACTTCCCTTAGCCTACTTGGGGCTCTCTGGGCTCACGTCGTATCTCGGTGTGAAATCGCGCGGGAAAGTGACTAGTGGTGACGTTGTTGTGGTTTCTGGTGCCGCTGGTTCTTGTGGTACCCTTGCTGGACAATTCGCCCTAGAATGGGGTGCGAAGAAAGTGATTGGTATTTGTGGTTCGGATGAAAAATGTCGCGCACTGGTTGATGGATTTCGGTGAGTCATGGTTAAACACCCGAAGTCCACAGTTGTATGCTTTTAATTGTCTCTGACGATAGTAGTGACGACACAAGTGGAATTTCCTTGAACATGAAATATGTTATGTGTATGCATAGCTGTTATTTTTGTTTATGTTGTTTTAGTGCAAAATAAGCACAGTACAGTAACATATTGTTACAGCAAAGTTCGTTACAACACATTTTTCAGTGTAGCAAACTGTTACTCAAATCCTGACATATATATAGAGACCACTTAGACTATTCAGATTGTAGAGTATTTGTTCAAAAAATTCATTGAATGAACTTTAAAATTCCAGTACAACAAACTTTTTAAAGGAATGTTCAATAGATTCTCTGGGTGTAAATTTTCTGATCAAGGCAGACACAGTCTGAATTTCCATCGCCAAATGTGACTGAATGGTTCTTCTAATGCATGAATGGCAGCTGTTTCAAGAGTTTCCACACATCATCCTTCCAGAATGAATAGATTTATACAACATCCTCCTAGAATGATTGGTTCAACTAATGGAATTCATGATTGGAGCTAATTTTCCTCCCAGAAGATCATGCAGTTTTTCAAACAATAATACAAAATTTGAGAATTCCAGAAAAGCAAGATTTAAGTGATCATTGGCAGGTCTGATGTAAGATTTTTTCTAGTCATTAATTTTTCTGTGGTCTGCAGAACTTTTTGCCAGTCTGTGGAAAATTTTCTTTGGCATAATAAGTTTGTCAAAAGTGGCAATGAAGTCCTCGTCTGGAATTTATGGAAAGTCCATTGCAGTTTAAACTATCTGATGAAAAATAGAAGTTAGCCTTTCTCCTAATGAAGTGTCAAAAATGTTTAATCTGCTGCAATAAATTAGTTTAATTTTTCATTCTAAGAAAATAATTTTTAGAAGACATTCCACTGAAGCTGCTTCATGGATTCTCAACTTACATTTTGCAAAACAGCAGGAACACTTTCATAACCTGCCATGAAGTCTGTCAAACAAAATCTTTTCAAGTTTGCAAAAATTTTATGAAACTTTGCAGGTCTGCAGATTTTTTTTCATTTTCTGGTCCACAAAGGTTGGAGAACACCGGTATATCTTTACCTGGTTTGGGTGACACATGTCTGACATCGCAGAAACCTGTGTCAAACGTGAAACAGAAAATTTCATTTTCCATGAGGTTTTTACAGTATTGTCTGTATTTTAAAGAACTGTACAGTATCTAATGGTCTATGAGTGATAAAGTCACCAAATACTGCGTATGGCTTATTTTATGGGAATCCTGCTATAGCTAGATACTTCGTCATTAATGTTTTTTTAATATTTTCTTTTTTTAAATTCTCCGGCGCATGTTTTGAACAAAAGATTCACGACCGCTGTCAACTATAAAAGTCCGGCATTCGAGTCAAAATTGGCGGAAGCTTGTGCAGATGGCGTTGACGTCTACTTTGACAACGTGGGTGGAGAAATCAGCCGAATAGTGATTGTTGATCACATGAAACCCGCAGGTCGGGTTGTGTTGTGCGGGCAAATTGCTGATTACAACAAAGATGTCCCTTATCCTCCGCCAATTCCGAAGGATATGCAAGTGAGAATCTTTATCCGCTGGGACGAGGATGGACCCATTTTTGATGTCTTCAGAAGTATTTGGATCCTTTACTCCGTATCGTCATGTCATCACTTTTTTTTAAATTCAAGTAAAAACTCCGTACAACGAAACCATTTTTGGACAAGTTAAATAGCTTTGTTTTTATGGAAAAGGTGTAATCAAGTATTTATTTCAACATTGCCGCTATTGGACAGAGACTTTGTTGTAAGTGATGATTCGATATGACGAGATTCTAGTGACTTTCATAATTGGTATGGTCTTGTAAAGAAGAATTCTCGATGTTAAAAAATAGTTCATTCTCACTGGTTTCCTCAGCAGAACAAAGTTTGGGTCCGACAACAGTACAGTACTGTATAAATTAATCTTTACAGCTGTGAGAAAAAGTGTTGTATTTTTCATTTGTAAGTCCTCGAAAAAGTTCGTGGAGATTATTCTTCACCGCTAATTTTTTATGCCTGGGATGAAATTCAATCAACTCTTTTCCTGAGTCAACAAAATGAAATGTTTGCTTTGCAGAATGCGATTGTGGCAAAAAGCATAGACAGGGAGCGTTTCCTTGTGCTGAGTTATCAAGACCAGTTTCCGGAAGCATTGGGAGACATGAAAAGGATGATATTGGAAGGGAAAATTCGTGTCGAAGTGACAGAAGCTGAAGGAATAGAAAAAGCCGGTTGGGCCTTGATGAACATGATGAATGGAGGAAATATTGGGAAACAAATGGTCAAAGTCTGTGATTCCTCCGGACGGGTTAAACAGGACTGATTTCATTTTTCCGCGGCAATTTAATCTTCTCAAGTGATGTAATTTCTTGTTTTTTCGTGAAATTCTCCTCGAATTCGGGACCTCGTATCTTTCACGGGAAATAAATGAAATTGAAGAGTTCGTGTCTACTTTTCGAAATTCACGATTCTTTTTTCAATTATTCGCGAAAATCTTAACATCTTTTTTTCTTTGATTCAATGAAGAGTTGCTGTGTTTCCCCTTAGTTCCAGAAAACCAAGCACCAAGTACTTGAATCTGCTGGAAGATTGTGAATGGATTCTCTCGACATTCAAAAAAGATAAAATTTCTAGAATTTTTTTTTTTTTTTAAGAAATGCGTAGATGCATGACAAATTATTGGTGCCTGAAAAGTTCATCGTGAATTCTCCTAAATTCAGTTCAAGTTTATGGAATCAATATGAGCTGTTGTGCTGATTTGGCAGTCAAAGATTTTGTATCTCTCTAATTTTTGCAGTTTTCATTTCCTGGATAGATGTCGGAAATTAAAATCAGTGATAGGTTAAAAACGACGGGATTAGAGTGGCGCCAGGAAATTGGCAATACTTTGAGAAAGTCGGGGATCCAGTGGGACCAAGCTCAACCTTGAGTTCCCACAAGATTTGGGATTCTTGGGGAAATCCTTCTAGAAGGATAATGCTCAGGGACAAAAAATACCATAGAGAAAAAATTTTTTAAATAGTGAATTGCTTCTGTATTGAATCATCAGTTGCTTCTGTGTCGTCTTATGCAAAAGACTGCTTGTCAAAACTACTGCTCAAATCAATCAAACTTAAACCCCAAAATATATCAGCCTTACACTAGGGTGTCAAGCACCCCAGCCGCAGCCCAGCTGATTGCGTCAAAATCTTTTATTTCATAAGCAATCTGAGAAAAAAATTGAAGTCGAGACAAAACTCTGAAAACTCAGATTACTGTTCCTAACAATAGAAAATAGCTTTAGGGGGATCAATAGCAATCTTCAAACAGTAATTCAGATTCAGTGCCAGAGAGAAATTCAAGCTTCAATGATGAAAACTTGAAAAGCAAGAAAAACGTACAGTGAGCAGATTTTGAATACACAAGTGTGAGTTGTATAAACTTACAGCTCTTTTTACAGTTTGTAGTTCACGTTATATGTGAGATATTTTACATCAGTTGAACATATTTATTTGTCTCACATACTGTACAGTGCATGTCTGGTTTTTTTCAATTTTCATTAGAGAACGCGTGAAAGAAAATGCACAATATGTCAATATCTAAAAATACAATAACTAAAAGTAGCTGTAGGATGCAACAAGAAAAGTGTGCAATGCAGGTGTGATTTATTCAGTGTGCTTTGTGCTTTGAAGCCAGCAAGCCATGCAGCCTGCCGTCTCTCTGCTTGTATTCCCCTGCTTTGTTTTTATTGGTTATCATCAGGGCCGGATTAAGGTGGGTGCTATTGATGCTGCAGCATTAGGCCCACAGGAAAAATAGGCCCCTGGAGAATTTGAAACAATTCCCCAATTTGGGAAATCCAATTTTTTTCAATGATGAAAATCTGGCAAAAACAGGAAAGAGGCAAAAGTTTTCATGATGAAAAAAATCAGGCACTAATAAATCAACTTCTGCACTCTGCACATATAAAAACCATTGAAGAGGAAACCAGATTAGGACATGAAAATCAGTTGAGAGCCCACAATAATTTCTGCATTAAAAAAGGAAATCACAGCCAATATGGCCAGAAACAGGAAGATGCGTTGTAACAGAATAGTGTAATACGTTTGTACTGTGAGTCACAATTTCCCATAGACTTGTATGGGAAATTGTTTAATTTGTTCCAAAAAACCAGAGAAAAAAATTTTCAAGCAAAAAAATCAGTTTTGACTGTTTTATTTTGGCCATTGTTGCATGCAATGAAAGTCAAATGACTGTCCTCACATGTGACAAATGCCAGGTGAATTTCTGTCTTCTCTGAGACAAAATTTTGTGGCATTAAAAAATCCGTCACCTGTGACATTTGTCACATAGAAAAAATCTGTGTTCTGAAACAATTGTCTCAGAACACAAACATTTTTCAGAACACAGAAACTTCTGTGTTCTGAACTTCTGTGTTCTGAAGAACACAGAAACTTCTGTGTTCTGAATGCATAAATTTTCAGGAAATTTGTCAAAAAATTTCTGTCTTCTGAGAAATTTTTCTGAGAACCCAGAAATTGTTTGTGTGACAAATTTCATGAAATGTTCTGTTTTCTGAGACAATTGTCTCAGGAAACATAAATTTCTGTGTTCAGAAAACACAGAAATGTTCACAACTGTAACAAGAAAATTAAGACAATTGTCTCAGAACACAGAATTTTCATGAAATTTGTCACACAAACAATTTCTGAGTTCTCAGAAAAATTTCTCAGAAGACAGAGAAATTCTGAGACAATTGTCTCAGGAAACATAAATTTCTGTGTTCAGAAAACACAGAAATTTTCACAATTGTAACAAGACAATTAAGACAATTGTCTCAGAAAACAGAATTTTCATGAAATTTGTCACAAAAAAATGTATGGGTTGTTAGAAAAATTTCTCAGAACACAGAAATTTTGTGTTGTTACAAATTTCATGAAAATTTCTGTGTTCTGGGACAATTCTCTTAATTGTCTTGTTACAATTGTGAAAATTTCTGTATTTTTTGAACACAGAAATGTATGTTTTCTGAGACAATTGTCTCAGAAAACAGAACATTGCATGAAATTTGTCATATAAAAAATTTCTGGGTTCTCAGAAAAATTTCTCAGAGCACAGACATTTTTTGTTTGATAAATTTCATGAAAATATATGTGTTCAGAACACAGAAATTCATGTTTTCTGAGACAATAGTCTCAGAAAACACATGAAAAACACATAAATTTGTCACATGAAAAAAATTTCTGGGTTCTCAGAACACAGAAATTTTTAGAACACAGAAATTTTCATGAAATTTGTCACACAAAAAAATTTATGTGTTCCGAAATTGTTCAGTGTTCTGAGACAATTGCCTCAGAACACAGAAATTGTCATGAACTTTGCAATAAAATTTGTTCACAAATTTTTTTGCACTACGAAAAAAAAAATGTTTGTAGTACAAAATTTGTACTACGAATAAGGGGTGAACATTCACCCTTGTTGGTAGTACGAAATTTGTTGGTAATGTGGGGGTAAAAAAAAAAGGATTTTTGGCGGAAAAAACCTTTGTTCTGCAGAACGTTAATTTTGCAAGGAGTTTGTTCTGCCAGGTACCACTGTATATACAAAAAAAAACAATGCTTGTTTGTCCTTGTCTTGACTGCTTGGAAGGATATGTATACTGTATAAGGAAATGGCGGAAAGATTATTCTGTCAGAATATTCAACAAAAATTTAAGATTTAAAAAGTGTTCCGTCCTGAACGATCCATGATAAGCGCTGTATTTTCAAATCTCATGCATCAACAGGTAGTGGACAAAAATATCATGAATACAAATTATAGTAGTGCATTATTCAGCTTCAGAAGGAATTTCTTCAGAAGCCTTCTTCGGCATATTTTTGTAAAACCGTTCCTTTCCACCATTGCTGCGATTTCCGAACTCGTACTGATGCTGTTTGTAATGGACCAACAACTTGAGTTAAATCAACTTCCAGCGATCATAAACATCAGATCCAGACGAAATATCTTGGAAACATCAGAACTGACCCAGCGGATCAGAGCAAAGCTAATGGATAATCGAAATGGGTCCAGTGGAAGTCTGAAACTTAGCAAACCAGTGACTGTGAGACATGAAAGCATTGGGAGACATGAAAAAGATGATATTGGAAGGGAAAATTCGTGTCGAAGTGACAGAAGCTGAAGGAATAGAAAAAGCTGGTTGGGCCTTGGTGAACATGATGAATGGAGGAAATATTGGGAAACAAATGGTCAAAGTCTGTGATTCCTCCCGACGGGTTAAACAGGACTGATTATTTTTTGTTGTTGCTTTTTTTATGCGGCAATTTAATCTTCTCAAGTGATGTACTTTCTGTTTTTTTTCGTGAATTCCTCCACGAATTCGGGACCTCGTATCTTTCACGGGAAATAAATGAAATTGAAGGGTTCCTGATGCTTACTTTTCGAAATTCACGATTCTTTTTTTCAATTATTCGCGAAAATCGTAACACCCTTTTCTCGTTGATTCAATGAAGAGTTGCCGTGTTTCCCCTTAGTTCCAGAAAATCAAGCCTCAAATACTTGAATCTGCTGGAAGATTGTGAATGGATTCTATCAAGAGTCAAAAAAGATAAAATTTCTGGCAAAATGCATGACAAATTAATGGTGCATGAAAAATGCATCGTGAATTCTCCTAAATTCAGTTCAAGTTCATGGAATTGATTTGAGCTATTGTGCTGATTTGGCAATCCAAGTTTATGTATCTCTCTCATTTTTTGCAGTTTTCATTTCCTGGATATAAAATAGTTTTAGAGGGATCAGGGCCGGATTAAATGTGGGTGCTATTGATGCTGTAGCAGTAGGCCCACCAGAAAAATAGGCCCCTGGGGAATTTCAAATTAACAATTCCCGAGCTGGGGAATTCCAACTTTTCAAAAGTTATGAAAACCCTGTAAAAACAGAGAAGAGACAGAAGTATTTATGATTTAGAAAAGCAGGGATCAATCAATCCCAGCACACTGCCCATAAAAACCTTTGAAGAGGAAATCAGACCAAGGACATGAAAATTGGCTGAGAGCACAAAATCATTCCTGCATTAAAATTAAAACAAAGGCAAATGGTCAGAAACAGGAAGATGTAGTGACAACAAAGCATGGGGATGAGAAAATCCAACCAAAAGTTTCAATTCAACCCAGCATGTCACTACTGATGGTGGCGGGATAAAATTGTCACTCCTGTCCCCACTTTGAAAGCCTTTTATGGCCTCAAAAATCGTTTGAAGTGATTTCTTGATGTTTATATAATTATAATTTTTCATTTCTGAAGCATCAGTGATTTATTAACACTTGTGATGTAAAAAATTGATTTCAT